GAGGCCCTAAGGGAGATCTCCTCTGCCACAGCTTGCTCCCAGCCCTTTGCCTGGAAGAAGAAAGCTCTGATCATCATCTGGGCCAAGGTTCTTCAGCCCTACCCCGTCACCCCTTCAGACACTGACACTCGGTGGCAGGAAGATGTGTTCTTCTCAGTAGGCAACATGATCCCCACCATCAATCACACGGTCCTTTTTGAGCTGCTCAAGTCTCTGGAAGCTTCTGGACTCTTTATCCAGCTCCTGATGGCCCTGCCCACCGCTGTCTGCCGTGCAGAACTCGAGCACTTTTTGGAGCACATGTCCGTTGACACGTCTTCAAAGGACGTGGCCTTTTTCCTCAGCGTCTGGTGGGAAATGATGAAGCACAAAGGCAATCAGCAGGACCCCCTGCTCTCCCAGTTTAGAACAATGGCCCGTAAGTATTTGTCATCCTCAGATGAGTTCTCCCACCCTCCAAAGAGGTTTAAGTCGGACCCAGATGTGTGTCCCACCATGCCCCTGTTGGCCATGCTGCTCACTGGGCTGAAGCAAATCCAGAGTCGAATCCTCTGCCCAGGGATGAAGTGCTGTGCGTTAGCCAACTTGGCAGACATGCTGACCGTGTTTGCACTGATGGAGGACGACCCCCAGGAAGTGTCTGCAACCGTGTATCTGGACAAACTGGCCACGGTGATCTCCGTGTGGAATTCGGACACCCAGAACCCATATCACCAGCAGGCACTGGCTGAGAAGGTAAAGGAGGCAGAACGGGACATCAGCCTGACCTCTCTGGCCAAGCTTCCAAGCGAGACAATCTTCATCGGGTTTGAGTTCATGTGCAGCCTGCTGCGGGAGTGGGGGGAGGAGCTGCAGGCCATGCTCAATGGCAGCCAGGGGACGAATTATGACAGCTTCCGGCTGTGTGACAGCCTGACTTCCTTCAGCCAGAACTTGAAGCTCTACCTGGATTCTACCAGCTTGTCCAAGGAGGAGAGGCAGGTGGTCTCGGAGCTGGCAGAGTGCGTTGCAGACTTCCTGAGGAAAACAGCCAAGGTGCTGAAGAACAAGGGCTTTGAGAAGGACATCATTGCCTCCATTGCCATGGCCATTATCGAGCAGAAGATGGACCGGCATATGGAAATGTGCTACATTTTTGCTTCTGAGAAGAAGTGGGCCTTTTCAGATGAGTGGCTAGCCTGCCTGCTTAATAACCGGGCCCTCTTCCGAGAGCCAGACCTGGTGTTAAAGCTGCTGGAAACGGTGATAGAAGTGACCGCAGCAGACAGAGCCATCCCTGAATCTAAGATCAAACAAGTGATCAGCTTGATTCTGGAATGCTATGCAGACCTCTCGCTGCCAGATAAAAATAAAGTCCTCTCAGGCACCCTGCTCTCCTGGGGGCGGAAGGGTCTCTCTGAAAAGCTGTTGGCTTACTTGGATGGGTTTCAGGAGGACGTCAATACAACTTTCAACCAGCTCACACAGAGCGCCTCTGAACAGGGCTTAGCTAAAGCCGTGGCCTCTGTGGCCCGCCTGGTCATCCTGCACCCAGAGGTCACCGTGAAGAAAATGTGCAGCATGGCCGTGGTCAGTCTCGGCACCCATAAGTTCCTGGCCCAGATTCTCACTGCCTTCCCCGCTCTCCGGTTTCTGGAAGAGCAGGGTCCAAATCCATCCACCAGCTTTGTGGTGTCTTGCCTCAAAGAAACCGTCTGGACAAAGTTCTCCACACCCAAGGAAGAAAAGCAATTTTTAGAGCTCCTGGGCTGCCTGATGAATCCTGTGAAGCCCCAGGGAATCCCGGTTGCCGCTCTTCTTGAGCCAGATGAGGTGCTGAAGGAGTTTGTCCTGCCCTTCTTGCTGCTTGACGTCAAAGAGGTGGACCTCAGCTTGAAGATCTTCATCCAGACTCTTGAAGCCAATGCGTGTTTGGAGGAATACTGGCTCCACACCTGCTCTCCGTTCCCCCTCCTCTTCAGCTTGTGCCAGCTCTTAGATGGCTTCAGCAAATACTGGCAGCTCCCCAGGGAGAAACGGTGCCTCTCTTTGGATGGGAAGGACCTGGTGATCCATATCCTGGATGTCCTCTGTGAGATTATATTGGCCAACACTGAGACCTTCTCCCCAGACACCTGGATCAAGTCCCTGTCTTGGCTCCACCGGAAGCTGGAGCAGCTCGACTGGACTGTGCGCCTGAGAATGAAGAACCTCTTCGAGGGCCACTTCAAGTGTGAGGTGCCCACCACGCTCTTTGAGATCTGTAAGCTTTCTGAGGACGAGTGGACCTCCCAAGCCCACCCTGGTTATGGCCCGGGCACAGGGCTGCTCGCGTGGATGGAGTGCTGCTCCATCTCCAGCAGCATCTCCGAGCAGATGCTGTCCCTCCTGGTGGTGGACGTGGGCAACCCCGAGGAGGTCAGATTGTTCAGCAAGGGCTTCCTGGTGGTCCTGGTACAAGTCCTGCCTTGGTGCAGTCCCCAAGAGTGGCAGCACCTGTACCAGCTGACCAGGAGACTGCTGGAGAAGCAACTCCTGCATGTCCCGTACAGCCTGGAGTACATTCAGTTCGTTCCTCTGCTCAACCTGAAGCCCTTCGCCCAGGAGCTCCAGTTCTCCGTGCTCTTCCTGAGAGCCTTCCAGTTTCTCTGCAGCCAGAGCTGTCGTAACTGGCTTCCCATGGAAGGCTGGAGCCATGTAGTCAAGCTTCTCTGTAACAGTCTGACCCACCTCCTGGACTCTGTTCGGATGATTCAGTCGGTTGGCCCTTGGGCTCAAGAACAGGACCTGACCCAGGAGACCCTGTTCTTTTATACCCAGGTATTCTGTCACGTTCTGCATATCATGGCCATGCTCCACCAAGAGGTGTGCGAACCGCTCTATGTTCTGGCCCTGGAGATCCTCACCTGCTACGAAACCCTGAGCAAGGCCAACCCTTCTGGTAGCTCCTTGCTCCAGAAGGTAAATGAGCAGCGCTTCTTGAAGTCCATCGCTGAGAACATTAGCCCTGAGGAGCGGCGTCAGACCCTGCTGCAGAAGATCAGCAACTTCTGACCCTCGTACACCAGAGAACAGCTGGGCCCTGGCTTGGTGGGGTCTCTAGGGGTTCGAGCTGAGAAACGCAAGCCTTTCAGTTACATGAAGTTGTATGCAAGCTAAAAACATATACGGCAATAACTGTAAAGAAAATAGTTTCTTAGGTGTTTGTAACATACAAATTATAAAATTCTCGTTTGAGTTTCATTGTGTCTCTTTTGAGTTATTCTAATCAATAGTCTAGACTCAAATGTGCTGTGTGGTCGGGCTCAGCTAGAGTCTTAAATATCAAGGCCAGCTGGGAGGAACGTATTCATAACTGGACTTACCTAACATCCTAGAATTCAGCAAAGAAGGCCAAAGGTGAAACTACCCAAGTGGAAAAATGACAAGGTATATGTTCTTTTCCACTGAAAGCCTCTTCAAGAGTCCCTTCGTGGTGTCTTAGCAAGGGCAGCAAGGGAAAAAAACTCTTCTGCCACCAGTTGGCCATGTGGTTTGTGAACCCAAAAGGCCTGCCCCACGGTAAAAAGAACACTGGACCAAGAAGAGTTGTCAGGGAGTAGACTAATAACCCACACTCAAGAAAGCGGGTGTGTTCTGAATGGAGGACTTCTGCATGGAGTTTGAGCTCCATTTAGTGGATGCGGGAGGGGCTATTTTGTAAAAGTCTGGTAAACACCAGAGATGGGTTTAAAGGCTGGGTATAATTATCTTATGCCTGGGGGAGGCTGTCATGGTTTTCAAGATGGAGTGGCAGCAGGCAGTGGTGTACACGGGCTTAAATTTGGGACCTTAATGTGTCCAATGTCTACCACAGAACTAGGAGAACTGTTTGCAGGGGTGTTTGAGAGGCAAGGAGGGAAAAAGGATATGCCCCATCGCTTTCATATGCTTATCCCTCCCTCACAATAAAGCATTATTCTGGCTCCCTCCCAGCTCCTTACTGGGATTCACATAGGAAGGGGAGATCATGCCAAGAGCTGCCTGACCACTGGCCTTGAACTCTAGGACCTGATGAGGTACTCCTGGGACCCCAGGAACATGGTAGAGGAAGGTATGAGCTAGGCCCTCCTGAATGCTGAAGGTGTGACCACACCCCACCACACCCCCACTTCTGCCAGTTGCGTGGTAGATGTGAACACAGACCAGAAGCCAGAGCTCACAGCAGGGATTCCAGTCAGGTCACAGGATGGGTGTGAAGAGAAGTCGATACTGATGTATTTCACAAATGAGAAGAAGCTGGGAAATATTAGTGCACTTTAATCACCACAGGGGTGATTAAGACAGACTGACAGTAAACAAAACCGGTAAAAAAAAAAATTACAGCATTTGACATTTTTTAAATGGCACCCATTAAAGACAGAATTTGAGACACTGTTACATACTCAGTACTTTGCAAGTTCATGGACAACAGTGAGTTAAAAGGCACTTTAAAACTTCTAGATTTTTACTACCACAAAAACAAAACTTCATGGTAGCAGTTTCTAAAAACCCATCCTAGTGGATAAGGAACAATTAGTGTTGGCACCAGAGGATCCTGTCTGCAAATGGTAGATGTGTCAGTCCACAGGGCATGTTTTGGCCAGGGCGCTCTTGCACTCTTGTTCCCCAGCCTTCTGCGGCAAGGTGGCAGTACGCTTCTTTGGGAACAGGCTTTGTAACAGAAGCTCTGGCTTAGCAGGAGGCAGCCTGGAGGATACCTCTCATGGTTTAGGATACAGAAGCCTGTTTCCACATCCTATAAAAAGGACAATGTCAAAGTGTGGGGTTACCTGGGAAAGAGCTTGCTAGGCACCACGTCCCTTTACCCCTGCAGTTTTAACAACAGCATCCTGCGTGTGTGGACGTGATGAAAGCTGGGATTGAGGGGACATAAGAAAGGAATAGGATTTGTGACGGGACAACAAGTTCACAAGTTTGACATAAGTCTTCCCTCATCAGCCTGCAGTGGCGCGGACCCATCAGCCTCCCGACCCACTCAAGTGTTCCCTTCCCTGCTTCTTGCTCCCCTTCCAGGGAGACTTCTGAATGGAAGTCAGTGAACATGGGAATTCAACATTGGCACGTGGATGACAGGATGAGTTACCTAGTAAACAGTAGAAAAGTACCTACCCACAATGATTTTCCCAGGCCAACATCACAAGAACGTATTTCAAGAACCGAGTTCGTCACTTGCTACTGCTGGCCCAGTGAGTATAGATGCTGCCCTGAGTGGTAGGAAAGGTGGGTAGCCGCCAATATTCAGGCCAGGCAGGTGCCCGGACACTTAGCACCCTGGTCTACCTGTCTCCACACCCCATGCTTCTACCTCCCAGAACCCTTGAGGTAAGACCCAAAGAGGGATCCTTGGGCTTTTCATTAAAACCGCCTTGCTGCCAGTGGAGGTCTGACAGGATCCAATCACTGTTACTTAGAAAAAAGTGCTTTGGCCAAAGGGGCAGGTTAGAAGAGGGAGATCAGATGACTATCCTTTAGAAAAACTCAAACCCAGCTGCTCATCAATACCCAAAAGCCTGAGGCCAGCCAGGGCACAGTCTGGTCCGTGGGAATACTGCGTGGAGGTGGCAGTGAGCATGAGGCAGCACCCTCACTGCCTGATCCCCAGGAGCACTTAGCCATCCTTTTTGGCTGGGAGGCTGTCAAAGAGCCGGGTTGCCTTCTTGCACAGCAGAGAGAACCAGTAGATCTGGGGAGCGATGAGGAAGGCATTGGCCACATTGCAGTAGAAGGGGATACGGGATGGCACCTGGAGTAGGCTTAGTCCCTGCTGTTGGCCATAGGACCAGTACATGAAAGGGAAAAGGAGGATCCGACAGGAAAGGAAGGTGGTCAGCGTGAGGATTCCGTTCACTTTGTACAGAAGGGTGTGCTGCTGCTTCAGCTGCAGAAGGAAGGGGAGGAGAGGGCCGTTAGCGCCACGCCATGCCTTCCGTGCCTTCCGGGAGCGACCGGCCCAAGGCCCATGGCACAATAGCCACACGTCTGGTCTTCTGACACGTGTGGCAGAGCTGGCTGAGTGCTGCTCTCTTTCTGTGTGCACACAGGCTCGAAGTTTTTCCTACAGTGATATGAACTTGGCCTAAGCCACCCAGCCGAGAGGCACACAAGAACAGTGGATTTAACAAGAACAACAAAACAAAACAAATCTGTGGCCAGGAAGAAATACCTAAAAAACTACCAAATGTGAATCAAAAGTACAATGTCACCCCCACAGGCTCAGAAAACCAACTGACCTTTGCATCTGTTGAAGGGTGTCCTGTCCCACCATTCCTAGTGCTATGGGATTCCCACACACCCCCAGTCAGCCGGGGGCCAGCTTCCTCCCACCACCACAGCCCCGTCATCCATACGTGCCTGAATCAGGACTCGGCCCAGCGACACAAACGGAGTGCTCAGTTCTGCCATAAAGATGCAGCCGACAAAGAAGTCCCCCAGGTCTCCCCTGAGCCTCTACAGAAGAAAAAGGAAAGAAAGGGAAATAAGAACTAGAGGGTAAGGAACCACCAGAAGGAACATTCTAACGAGGGCTACTGGACAGGGTAACCATGAGACCGTGAAGGGAAAGGGCAATGCTAGAGGAGCGAGTAGAGACCTGGTTGACAGTCTTCAGCTTCCACAGCAGTAGGGCTTGGAGGGTCAAACCCCCTTGGATCCAGAGGCAACTCAGAGGTCAGGGGATTGCATCACACACCAAGCTTTTTCTGAAATCCAATGTCAGCCGGAAGGAACCCTGTAGCCTACTTTTGGGTATCTAACCTAGTCATGCCATTTTTTTTTTTAAGGGTTCTGAATCTCTGATTTATTAGACAGCACAACAATAACAGGGTTAGATTATTTTACAAAAAGAGCTCAAGCTGCTCCGAAACAGCAACTGGGCTTTCTGGGGGTAAAAACAATTCTTCGGACTATCACCCAAGGACACAAAGACTCCTCATCCTACACAAAGTCAGCATGGAAGGGCACACGGACAAGTTTTTTTAAGACAGAAAACAGAGAAATCCACATACTAAATAAGGTGTCCACAATGACTACAACACATCCCTTAGGGGATGAGTATGTATTTGTAGGAAGCAAAACAAAGCTTGCCATAGAGAAACCACTTTCACGAGATGATTAGGTGGACTTGGGTTTTGTTTCTGCATCTGTCACTTAGCGAATGAAGATACCATCTTCGGGCCAGTTTAGTTCAACAAAATATGTGCCAGGCCCTGTGCTAGATGTCAGGGTCCCAGAGCAACCAGGAGAATCTTTGTTATGAATGTAATGTACTCCCACCATTCCTTTTATCTTGTCAGAAAAAAATAGGATAGTGGAGAAGGACCGCTCTGTCACTTACTACCACAATAAGTAAGCTCTTAGAGCCCCAGCTGCTTCATCTCTGGTACAGGGCGGAGAATATCTAATTGTCATTTCTAATACTTCCAATTATTAGTAGAAAGCGATGAGCTTTGCAGTCCAGAAGCTGTCACCTGGTAGGCACTTAGGAATTACTAATTTCCTTTCTGCATTCCCATCTCTCTCACTCAGGGTGGGGGGGAGTGGGGGATGGGCAAATGGACCCAAGGAGAAATTCTAAGGCTATCTGCTTTGAGAGTGGGTTTTTGCGACATCAACATAGCACATACAGTACTCTCTGACAACCTTAGAGCTCATCACCAGTCGACTGAGCTACTCTCATTTTTTTTTTTTAAAAACAATCTGGGGTCACCTGGGTGGCTCAGTGGGTTAAGCCTCTGCCTTCGGCTCAGGTCATGGTCCCAGGGTCCTGGGATCCGGCCCCGCATCGGGCTCTCTGCTCGGCAGGGAGCCTGCTTCCTCCTGTATCTGCCTGCCTCTCTGCCTACTTGTAATCTTGTCAAATAAATAAAATCTTAAAAAAAAAAAATCTGTATGTTGTTTTGTATTGTATTGTATGCTGTTTTTATATTGTATAAACTAAAGACAGGGCCTCTGACAGAGCCAGGGAATCATAGAGGGCTAGGGGACTGCATAAAGGACAGTGCTGGTAGGGAGGATCAGCGACACTGCAGACTGCATTTTTTCCCCCCACAGTATCTGCCGGGGAGGCTTTACCAGGGAAGCAGTGGGCACAGGACAGTGGGTGTGGGAGGAAGGGGAAAGAAAGAGGGACAATCCAGGCTCCTAAGTACTGGTCAAAGACACCCAGTATAAGGAGGAGACGAGGGACGGAGTCGGCTGTAGGCTGTCTGGGAAGGCCATACCTGGGCAACTGGCACAAGGACAAACAGAATGACTGCGTGGTGTGTGATCATGAGGCGGTTTTTACACAGGAAGTTTCGGAAGGTGGCGAGGGAGTGTCCGCGGTTCTGGTCTCTGGTTCGGTACCACTCACAGAGGTACATAGCGTAGGAGTCATAGACCATGTACGGAATCAAGAACCAGACATACTCTCGGGCAAGCCAGTGCCTAAAAGAAAGCGTATGAACAGTCCATGAGATGAGGACAGATGTCAGTTTTGTACCTAACCGGCTATTTTCACTCCAAACGCTTTACAAGGGAGACTCTGAGAGTGATAAATAAGGCAACTGAAGATTTTTCTCTCAGGTACAGGGCCAATTATTAGGTGTCAGAGGCAGAAAGCTGGGACTCACTCAGCACCAGGTGTTTCAGTAACCAGCTGTCGCCATTTCCCTGATTTAGCCCTTTCGAATGCATTTTCTGATAAAAGCTAACTTTGATATAGATATCTCTATAAATGATTCATTAGCCCCACCAAGAAACTTGTTCAGAGGTGTCCCAAAGGCCCAATCCAATATTTCCGGTTTAACTCTACTTAGTTGCTCAATAGTTGGGAGTTTCCTCACATATTTGCTCGCAACCCCACTTTCGGGAGTTTCTGGGAAGCTACCCTGACCGTGGGTAACTGCATGGGTAATTATGTGGGTAATTCTGTGGCTAATCCCAATTCCACTCATTAAGAAAAATACATCTGGAAAGGAGCCCGGAGCTCAAGGACTACTTTACAGCAGTCAGATACGAGCAGAGAAGCTAGGACAAAAGACAGCATTCCCCTTTATTTGCCCAAAGGGGTTGATTCCATATTTACGGAGTCTAAACTGACTGTTTATCACAAGCCCAGAGCAGATTAGAAGGAAATTCTCCAATGTCTACCATTTTGTTCCCAAATGAGAAATAATCATTCTACAGAAAAAGGAGAAAATCAAAACAGAAATCATACACTCTCGCTGAGAAGGATTAACTTCATTCAATTGGCACATTTTCACTGAGCACCCCTGAGTCAGCGAGAAGAAACAGTTTAGTTTCATGGTTTTCAAACTACCTGAACCCCAGAATCACCTGCAGTGCTGGTTAAGGACTCTACTCCCCAGAGCCTCTACCTGCACAGCCTCACGAGCTCAAGTTTGTATTTTTAACTCTGTTTCCGGTGATTTCCTAAGAAGCCAGCCCACTGAACTGCAACACTGGCAATATATTCCAGAGAGGGTGCCATTCAAATTTCTATTCCTGAACTAGTCCACACTTCTCACGGCATGACTGTATCATTAAGAAGCAATGAAACAGGCAAACGAGTACGTAATGGCAAATATACTAGATGTGCATGTGAATTCCTCAGCCAGGTTCCATTTGGACAACAAAGATATGGCAATATTTATTCTACTGCTCATCTACGGCCTCCAGTTGCTTTCTTGAAGCAATTCCAAGCACAATAACTATGAAGAACTACTAAGCTTAGCTGAAATGCAACTGACCCCTCCCCTCCAGAGGTGCCTGGGATTTTGATATTTTGCACAACTGATTCAACGCGATGTGAAATTGTGGCTGATAGGCAGGACTCTCCAAAAACTTATCAACAAGAGGTCTGGATTATAATCTTAACTGTCACCAGCCGGGGACTTAACTTTCTTTGTAGCATCAAGATAATAATTCTTGTTTTTTCCTTCCCTGACAAAGTTCTTGTGTGGATTAAAAAACTAGAAGTGTGAATGTCCTTTTAAGTGTAGAAAGCACTATCCAAATATAAGTGCTTAAACTGCTAAAACTGCACAGGATTTTTAGCCCTTTTGGGGATCTGGACTCCTTTAAGAATCTCCTGAAATCTCTGGTCCCACATTATGCATATAATTTGGGGGGATTTATAAATACATATTCTGTGTGAAGACATAAAATGGAAAAGCATATAATAGGGGCGCCTGGGTGGCTCAGACGGTTAAGCATCTCCCTTCAGCTCAGGTCATGATCTCAGGGTCCTGGGATGGAGTCCCATGTCGGGTTCCCTGCTCTGGGAAGAGTCTACTTCTCCCTCTGCCCTCCCTCTGCCCTCCCTCTGCTTGAGTGCTGAAGCATGTACACTCTCTCTCAAGTAAGTAAAATCTTTTTTAAAAAGGAAGAAAAGGCATACGATAGAAAAATATTTGAGTGTACAGTATACGAAAACCAAAAGGCCTTTTTTTTCCCCCAAGATGATCTAGGTGCCTTTAAAACATGCTTATACATACATGCAAAGCAGAGGGCACAGAGATGTGTCTGTCTCCCATTTTGTGACCAGCGAATCTAAGGCATAAAGATACAGAAAAGGAGGAACCTGAAAACCAAACTCAGGTGTGCCACCATGATCCAGCCACTAAAAACAGAGCTTCTGAGGGGAAGACACAACAGGGGTGCTACAGAACTAACGGTGTGCAAACATCTTCTGAAATATATAGTGGCTGCCCAATGCCTGCCCTCATATCAGTTCAAAAAAATACTGCAAAGTCACATTTGTCACTTTAATCTTTGTAAAAGAGGCTGATTTCAAGCTTAATGTGACAGAGTGGGAACAGTGAGAGAATTCTGCATGATCAGAAAATGCTCAATGAAAATAAAAAATTGAATCCAGCTAAGCAAATGCTGTTAGCCTTTGGTATATGCAGTCAAGATCAACTGACCTATCTTCTCTCGGCATCTATCATTCATTGCCAGTAGCTGATTTTGTTTAAAAGAGGCACAGGAAGGAAAGCACAAAAGTCACAACGGCAGGACTAATCCCAAGATTCAGACACAAAATTTGCAGACCACAGAGAAATGGATACGCCACTCCTGCTCCCATCCCTTTCCACGCTCAACTGGTAAAAACCAGGACACTTTGCAGAATTGACAAGAAAGGGACTAGGAAAGGCTATGAGACTTTCCCTGCACATTTGACTACCACTCTTTAAGGAAGAGAAAGTAAGAGTGGTTCTAGGAAGACAGGTGAAAACAATGGCTTTTTAGAAAAAGCTGGGGTGGGGGCACAACTGCCCAGGTCTAAACACGATACAAAGTAGACCGGTCTTTATGATTTGTTTCACTGGATGCACATTTCCTGACCTGCCTGGGGACTGAGCTGTAATTCAGGTATAGGTCAGTTTCCTGAAAGCCCTAGAAACCTTTTTTCATTGCCTTTAGCAAATCCAGAGGAAACACGGGAGCAGCCCTTGTAAAGAAAGGGTTGGTGGATTTGTCCCTTTCCACTGAGGGTCTCTGCTAACCACCCTTGGCCAAAGAATGCTCCAGAGCAGGGATCTAGTGAAATCATTTAAAAGACCTAAAGGCCAGACCCCCACTCCAAATAATTCTCACACTTAGGTGGCTCGTAAAGAACTTGAATCAGTGGGCCACCTTAAATCAGACTCAGACCCTGTCATTCTCTAGCACGTCTTCAGTTTACTTTCTCTGAAGTGGGCGAGGCTGAAAGAGGTAAAGAGAGAGGAGGGGCTAATTATGGGGCTGGGATTCTCCCATCAGCTACCTAACCGCATGTGCTGATAAAGGACTTGCGCCTGGGAGCCACTCAAACGTGAAAACTTCGAAAAAGTTCAGCGCTGTCATTGGTGCTTCCACCTGGCATTGGATGTTACCTGTCCGTGATCACGTCGCTACAGGAACGGATGATGACGATCCCTGACCCGGTGGCCAACACAGCCTGCACTGAAGAAACCAGCCTAACATGCGGCAGAAAAGAAAAGGGGGGGGGGAGGGTATCCAGTCCAGCGGACAGCATAAAGCCCAGAGCCTTCAACCTGCCTCTCCCCTAGGCTGCCAGGGCGGTGAGGGAGAGCCTCCGGCCGCCGCCGCGCTCCCGACCCCAAAGCAGAAGGCAGACGTGGACCAGCCGCTTCCCTCCCGGTCTTGACCCGCGTGGGCGCCCTCCATCCTCCTCCCTCTCTCCCTCCCCGGGAGGACGCCGGGGTCTTCCGAGAGCTCCGGCCAGCGCCCCGGAGGGGCAAGGCACCAGGGAAGCAGCCCCCTCGCTTCCTGTCGCCCCCCTTTTCCGCCCTCCGCGCGGCGCAGGGGCGGGCGCCGGCGGGTCGGGGCGGCGGGCAGCCCGCGCGCGGCCGGGTGGGGCGGACGGCGCCCGGCCTCGCCCCTACCTGGTGCTGATCATCACGCAGTCGGAGTCGCTCCAGGCGGGCCGCGCGCGCCGCAGCCCCCAGGTGCAGAGTGCGAAGAGCCCCGGGAAGAAGAGCGAGCCCGAGGCCAGCGTCAGCAGCATGGGTGCTCCGGGGGTCGGTCGCCGAGCTCGGCGCCCTCGGCGTGGCTCAGGTCGGCTCTGCGCGACTCCCGGACTGGCGCGGCCCGCCCGGCCCTATTTCTACCCTCCGCCCTCCGCCCCCGCCCCCGCCCCGGCTCCGGCCCCGGCCCCGCCGCGACTCCGGCAGTCGCCGGGCGCTGGCCCCGAGCCCGCAGCGCCACTCTCCGCGTGACCAGGCCGGCAGCCGCGATAGGCGCGGGCCGGCCGGGCGGGGCGGGGTCTCGCCGCCGCCGCCGCCCCTGGGCCGCGAGGCTTCCCCGGGTTCCCCCGGCCCGCCGGAGAGCGGGCGGCGGCGGCGAGCTGCGGCCCCGGAGGTTCAGAAGGCGCCGACGCCGCGCCCCGCACGAGCCTTCCGAGCGGCCGCGGAGGGGCAGAGGCTTCCCGGGCTTCTGTTCCGTCACCGCGGACGCGTCCCCCTCTCGGCGGGACCGACCCGACCGACGGGACGCCCCGCACCTGCCCCCACTGCCCTCCTTGGCTTCCCAGCCCCAGGCGAAGGCGGCGGCATGGGGGAGGCCCGAGAAGGCCCGGGAAAAAGATGCCTTCGGCCGAGCCCCACACCTCCCCCGAGGGTGGGCGAGCCCTCCGCGTCGGGCCCGGGCATCTCTCTTTGGCAGAAGGAAGGAGAGGACCGGCGGGCTTGCGGCCATGCCCGCCTGGCTTATCTACCAAGCACTTTTGCGTCCAAACGGGAGTCTTAAGGAAATGATCCCTCCGTAGGCCACAGATGGCTTTTCCGCGTCCTGCCAACTGGTGCAGTTCCTCCAGAGGGGGCGGGGGTCGCTCCTCAAAGCTCTTAAATCATGCTACAGAACCCAGCAGTCCCTCTCTCCATCCGCCTAGCGAGGTAGAATACCGGGTCTGCAGACTTTCCGCAGCACCGCGGTACTGCCTCTCGCCTTCGGGTCAAGATCCTACGCAGTCTCCGGGACTGCTGACAACGTTTTCTTTTTTGAAAGTGCTCCATCCAGGTGCCGCAAACCTGAATGGGTTGGAAACGAGTCATCTTCACTCAACACCAGTCACGTGGACCAATACAGTAGCTTCCACATTACTGGCTTCTCTCCCTCTTGGGACTTCCCAACGTTTTACTTTGCTTTGGTCTCTATCATCCTCAGTTAACATGGGCCTGAGGAGGCGGGGGGGGGGGGGGGGGGACAATTAATTCACTTATGCCTACTGCGATTGGAAGGCTCTGTGGGTCTCTGCCCATCATCACCATGCAAAATCCTGAGGAAAGCCCTGTAAGAGGACTGTCTGAAATAGTGGGGCTCAGCCTCTCTGAGCCACTGTTTACTGATTTGTGAAAGGAAGAGGCTAAACCAAAAGCTCTTTAAGGTTCTTCCAGTTCTAAATTCTTATGATTCTGTGACTTTTAAAAGATTAACAGATGATTGCAATTAGATGTCAATTACATTTCTCTAACACGGCAGTTACTGATGTAGAAGCAGACATAAACACAGCTTTTAACATCTTACATACTGTTGAAGGATTTAATCAACATTAAGGAAACGGAATACCCAAAGGAAAATCTGAAATTTCTTCCAATTAGGGTAACATTTCTAACTCCCAAATTCACTGCTAACATACTTGGTGAACTGAAAAAGACACTTCAGTATGGTAGCAAGATATCCGGCAAATACAAAGCTTTCTGTATTTTCACATTTGCATGTGGACAAAGGACAGCTAAGGAAAACTTTTCATGGTCTCCAAAACAAATGCTTATGCATTCCGCTTTCTATTCCCTACCTATTTATCCCAACCACCTCCAGCTCCAGCTTTTCCAGAGGGATAAGTGGTTACCAGTCTTCCCTGCCTTCTCTCCTTAGGGATCAGCGGACGGACCAAGGATGCTAACACTTTTAAGTCGTGGGAACCCATCTAGTCCCTATGCAAGAAGTTGTCTGTACAGCTCTTAAGGAGTCTATGAAATGAAAACAAAACAACATAGGTTTCACATACAGAAAATAGCAAGTCAAGTCAGTTTCCAACACCAGGCTCACGCTGTCACCAGAACATTAAGCTTGAATCACCAGAAAGCCAAAAAGCATAAATACGAGCCTTGGCTTTTCAACCTCTTAGGCAAAGCCTTTTTAACAGAAACTTCTACTCATCCTTCAAAAGTTTTGAGTTGTGTTTCCTTCTCCAGGAAGGTTTCTATCTATCTGTTTCTTTTGGGCACATTTATAAATGTCCCTCTAGATCACTAACTGTTAGCTCTTTGAAACAGGACGATGTCTTTTCATTTTGTTTTCCAAGTTAGGCCTGGCACATTCCCAGTGCTCAAGAAACATTGATACTTTTCAAAGCTAGTATTTACTGAATATTTACTATGTGGCAGGCACTGTATCAAACATTTTACAAGCATTATCTCATTGGATTGGTCACAAAGAATCTATATTCTGTGTGTGTGTTTGTGTGTGTTTGTGTGCGTGCAAAATAAAGACCCAGAGCAATGAAAAAAAAATTGGCCCAAGTTCACCTGGCTGGTGGCAGAGTTGGGATTTGAACTCATTACTTTCTGCCTTCAAGGTCAGTGTGCTTAATGACTACACTACCTTCAAACTTGATAAGCAAGGGAAGAGTAGTTGTTTTTCACAACATAGTTTCTGATTAATAACCACTGTTCCTAATTGTTTCCTCATAAATTTAAATGTGTGGACTGTACTTTATGGGCTCTGATGCTGCTGTTATTAATATCATTTCATATTTATATATGCCTTTACAATTTTTCAAATCACTTTCACATATATTAATCTCACTTGGTTCTCAAAATGACCTGGTGAGGAAGGTGAGTATACTACTTCCTTTCATAGATGAAGAAATCAAGGAGCGAATGGTAAACTGACAGACCACTCTACGACGTGGCAAGGCTCAAGTTAGAACCCAGGGCTCCTGACTGATGTTCAGGGTGATTTCATCTCGTAGACTTGGGATTTAAGGAGTTTTTAGTTCTGTCTCTTAAGTGGATTTTGAGAGTGAGGTTGGGGTTACCAGATGTTAGTTAAGAGAAGACTCACTTGCAAAGTGAGAACTCATTTACAAAATTCCCTTGAATGGGAACTGATCAAGCTCCAAGTGTGGGAGGGCCATGGTGGGATTTCTCTGGTTTCTACCCTATCTCTCCCATTCCTTTAAACCCTGATCTGGATACCATTAGGGGATAGGATAGCAGAACTCTCCCCATTCTGCTCCCTGGTTTCTCTAGACTTAAACTGAAAATACCGTATTTACTTTTACGAGACTCTGAGAATAGCCAGGTGAATGCCAAGAAGATGTGCAATGTGCGGGCTGCTACCCTTGATCAAGGACATTTTCTTCCTATCCAGAAAAATGCGTCAAGGAAAAACAACTGAGATTCACACATGAGACCTCCTCATTTCGAGCTCCAGGACTGAGAGACCTTGGAGGTCTCTAGCCACCCATTTACTTAAAAAAAATCATAACAGAGAAAATGAAACTCTATTCTGCAAAGAGTTATTTTGCTTAGACCTGCACTTCATTTCTGTATTACAGGCTTTGGAAGCAGAGACAGAGCAAGAAGAACAAGGGAGGAAATAAAATGATGGGAGACATGGAGATACAGCACAGGAAGATCCATCAGAAGACTGAGATCAGAACAGTTACGGGGAATAAAAAGGGCACGATCCAGCTCCTTTGACTCAGGAAAACAAGCAGAGAGATGGATCCAGAAACTGGAATTCACAACAAGGGGACAAGAGGGAGGCACTGTGAGACACAGAGAAAGGTAAAAGGAGGTGTACAAAGAGGAAGGAAGTGACAGCCTTTTATGGAATAGCTGGAACCTTTAGGCTGGAACCAACCAAAGCCATATTGCATTTGAAGTTCTACCGAACAAGGAAGGAGGCGGCTTGTTTTTAGGCCAGAATGTGGCAGGGGTAAGTTAATCAATTGCCTTTCTCCTCTTTCTCCTGTATTCTGTTTGCACTCCACAAGAATACCTGGTCAATGAGACCTGGCGCTGATATTTGTCTACATGTTTCCCCTCGGGACTGCGTGCCTCTCTAAGGGGCAAGGCAGGGCCTGTCGGTTCAGAAGGCAGCCATGACACACAGCGCAGCGGGGAGCGTTAGGGGGCCTGAGTTCCAGCGATGGCCCTGCTTCACGTAATCTGGGTGACATGGGGAAAACTACTTAACCTCTCTCTAAGATATGGGTTCCTCTACCGACCTCACAGGGTGGTTACAAGAGTTAAATGAGAGATTTTCAGAAATATGTGTAAACTATGTGCCGGACAGGGACAAGGGACCCTTTGTTATCTTGGTTCCCTGCAGCACAGTTACTGGCTGTTGCAACTTCTCAGTAAACATGGATTGGATTGAAGACGATCTAGGCCTGGCCTTAGCCAGCTTCCATGCTGCCGCTTCCTCGGTTTTATCCTGGACTATTTGCAAAAGCAAACTCTAAGTCTAAGAGGCACAGTCACACCCCAAGCACGTGGTTTCTACAAACAGTGACTACAGCTGCGCACCACAGGGAAGTCCTCGCTCTGGTACACAGTGATAATGATCCCTGTCAATAAAGACCATAATTTACACAAAGAACGGATTATACAGTACCTGCCTTTGTGTATTGCTTTGTATTTTTAGGGCACTCTCACCTATTTCTTTTGCTGTAAGTGCAAAAATTTGCTTGTCTGCAGAGAGTCACACCTAACTAAAAGTAGTGTGAGTTCCAAACTCAAGTTTAAGAAAATATTCAAGGGCATTGAACCATTAAGGAAATTACCTTTGAAATGAGTTAGAACCAGCAAATTGCTGTGAACAAATTCAGCTGCCTTCCTAAATCATCAGATCAATAATTTTTAGTGACTTCATGTCTCGTAAATAATTCCGTAGAAGGATTGTTTTGTTTACTCAACTAAACTCTGATGGTATTTTTTTTTAAGATTTTATTTATTTATTTGACAGAGAGAGATCACAAGTAGGCAGAGAGGCAGGCAGAGAGAGAGCGGGAAGCAGGCTCCCTGCTGAGCAGAGAGCCCGATGTGGGGCTCGATCCCAGGACCCTGGGATCATGACCTGAGCCGAAGGCAGAGGCTTTAACCCACTGAGCCACCCAGGCGCCCCCCCCCCTTTTTTTTTTTATGAAAAAATATGTCAGGGGTGCCTGGGTGGCTCAGTCCGTTAAACAAGTGACTCTTGATTCCGGCTCAGGTCATGATCTCAGGGTCATGAGATCGAGCCCCAGCATTAGGCTCTGCACTCAGCAAGGAGTCTGAGATTCTCTCTCTCCCTCTGTCCCTCCTCCTGCTCACGTGCACTCTCTAAATAAATTCTTTTAAAAAATATGTCAGGAAAAAAATATGTTAGAAAGAAAACATGCCCACTATGGAAAATAATCACAAATAATGCCATCACTGAGAGATATTACTCTCAGGTACTAATATTTTGGTAAAATTCTTTTTTAAAAAATATTTTACTTATTTATTTGAGAGAGGGAGACACAACGAGAGAGGAAACACAGCAGGGGGAATGGGAGAGGCAGAAGCAGGTTCCCTGCTGAGCCAAGAGCCCAGTGCAGGGCTCGATCCCAGGACCCCAGGATCACGACATGAGCCAAAGGCAGACACTTAATGATTGAGCCACCCAGGCGCCCAGGTAAAATTCTTCCCAGTCTTCTTTAAATGCATTTATTATATATATATATATATATATATATATATATATATATATACACACACACACACATATGTATATATATATATATATATATATTTTAAGATTTTATTTATTTATTTGACAGAGATCACAAGTAGACAGGCAGGCAGAGAGAGAGAGAGAGAGAGACAGAGGAGGAAGCAGGCTCCCCGCTGAACAGGGAGCGCGATGTGGGGCTAAATCCCAGGACCCTGGAATCACAACCTGAGCCGAAGGCAGAGGCTTTCACCCACTGAGCCACCCAGGCACCCTGCATTTATTATATTTTTGATTGAGATCGTGCCTTAATTTTGAATAACACTTCACTTGTAAGTATTTTCAATGTTATTAAATTCTTTACAAACTTCATTTTTTAAAAGATTTTATTTATTTATTTATTTATTTAAAGATTTTATTTATTTGAGAACACAAGTAGGCAGAGAGACAGGCAGAGAGAGAGAGGAGGAAGCAGGCTCCCTGCCGAGCAGAGAGCCCAATGCAGGGCTCGATCCCAGGACCCTGGGATCACAACCCGAGCCGAAGGCAGAGGCTTTCACCCACTGAGCCACCGAGGCGCCCCACAAACTTTATTTTCAATAAGTCAAAAGTAATTTGATTTATTTTTTTAAAGATTTTTTATTTATTTATTTGATAGGCAAAGATCACAAGTAGGCAGAGAGGCAGGCAGATAGAGAGGCGGAAGCAGTCTCCCTGCTGAGCAGAGAGCCCGATGTGGGGCTCAATCCCAGGACCCTGGGATCATGACTTGAGCCGAAGGCAGAGGCTTTAACCCACTGAGCCACCCAGGTGCCCCAGTAATTTGATTTTTGATTATTATAGGTTATCTTTCAAAGTGGGTTATCACTTGTTTTGAAAGGAATTCTTAACTGGGGGAGAGTGGGTTTGAGCACAGATGTATACCCTGGCACAAAAACATAGACAAGGTCTTCATCTGTTCTGGTAACTTCAAACTTAAAAATAGTTAAGAGCCCCATCCTTATTAGCATTTGGTTTATGTCTTTAAAGTGGGTGTGATAATATCTATAGAAACTCAAGCTGCTATGTAACTATCTAGTTTTTGCTCTTTATAGGCTGAGCTCTATTAACCTATTTAGGAAACTGTAATTACGTAGGCCCTTGGTGCCTGTTTAAGCAATGAAGGAAACCATTCTTTGCAAAGCTAAGTCTGTAGTGTCTTTTACCACACACAGGCAATTTCCACCCCAGACTTAATGACTTCTCAACAAGATTATGGCTGAAAATCTAAAAACAATGCAGAGGAAGCTAATTAGCTCCAAGGAAGTAAGTTTCTTATTTGGGTCGGGATCTTTCTTATATACATAGAAACCAGAACCTTGGCCTCAAGCATGCTAGCCGAGGCTTATATAGCAGCTGAGTGTCACTGCCCCCATCTGTGACCAACCTCACAAAATCACAAACTATTAATCGTGAGTCGAAAGGCTGAATAAACTGTTGAGTTAGGGGTCAGATTGAAATACATTTACCCTGGAGGTAGAGCAAGTTCCCATGTTGTGAGGTAACATGACCGCGCTGCCCAGCACAGGTCTTAGAAGGATTCGGAAAGTTTTATTTTTATTATTATTTTTTAAGATTGTATTTATTTATTTGACAGAGAGAGACAGACAGCAAGAGAGGGAACACAAGCAGGGGGAATGGGAGAGGGAGAAGCATGCTTCCAGCTGAGCAGGAAACCCGATGCAGGGCTCGATCCCAGGACCCCGTGATTAGGACCTGAGCCGAAGCAGATACTCAACTGCTTAACCGGCTGAACCACCCAGCTCCCTGGGATTCAGAAAGTTTTAAATCCTACTGCAATGTGAAGGACAGGAAGCACTTGCTAGTCAAGACTCTGCCACTTTCCTTCTTTTGTGTGTTCCAAGTCCACTGTTTCTTTATGCAGCATCTGTGGCTCAACTGGCTCCTCTTTATATGTTTTCTTCTATTTCAATTTTAAGAACCACGTTCATTCCAATCTGCTGCTGTTGAATACTCTACTGTTGGGGTTCTGGCCAACAGAGCAGCGCACACATAAACCTTCAAAAATGATTTTAACATTGAAAAGAAAGAGAATATAGTAACTTATGAAGAAAAACTAAGAAAATCAACTGAAATATAGAATAAAAGAAGTGAGATAAAGTGGCTGGATACAAGATCAATCCACAAAATTAAACGGCTTTTCTATAAAGCCAGCAAATATCAATTAGAAAATGTAACAGAAAAGGAGGACCATTTACAGTATTTTTAAATTTTTAATTCCAGTACAGTTAACATACAGTATTATATTAGTTTCAGGTATAATACATTTTTTAAATTTATAAAATCTGTTAGAGGGGCGCCTGGGTGGCTCAGTCAGTTAAGCATCTGCCTTCGACTCGGTCATGGTCCCACGGTCCTGGGATTGAGCCCCGCAGGGAGCCTGCTTCTCCCTCTCCCTCTGCTGCTCCCCCTGCTTGTACTCTCTCCCCCTCTGTCAAATAAGTAAATAAACAATCTTTTTTAAAAATTAGGGGCACCTGGGTGGCTCAGTGGGTTAAAGCCTCTGCCTTCGGCTCAGGTCATGATCTCAGGGTCCTGAGATCGAGTCCCGCATCGGGCTCTCTGCTCAGCAGGGGGCCTGCTTCCTCCTCTCTCTGCCTGCCTCTCTGCCTACTTGTGATCTCTGTCTCTCAAATAAATAAAATCTTTAAAAAAATTTTTTTAAATAAAAATTTAAAAATTAGGGGTGCCTGGGTGGCTCAGTGGGTTAAGCCGCTGCCTTCGGCTCAGGTCATGATCTCAGGGTCCTGGGATCGAGTCCCACATCGGGCTCTCTGCTCAGCAGGGGGCCTGCTTCCCTCTCTCTCTCTCTCTGCCTGCCTCTCTGTCTACTTGTGATCTCTGTCAAATAAATAAATAAAATCTTTAAAAAAAAAAAAAAGAAAAAAAAATGTAAAAATTAAAAACAAAAATCGGTTAGTTTTAGGCCTAATAAGAAATATGCAAGACCCAAACGGAGAAAGCTACAAACCTTTACTGAAAGCTAAAAAAGCCTAAACAAATGGAGAGCATGGTCCTAACGGGAATATTCAATACCATAAACATGTCAATTTTCCTCAAATTGATCGTTAAATTCAATACAATTCCAATGGAATTCCTAACACGGTTTTCATAGACTCAGAAAGCTCTTCCTAAAGCTCACAGGAATTATAGAAAATGTGCAAGAATGGCCAAGAAATATTTGAATAAGGAACACTGGGGGGAAGGGAGGAATTTACAATATACCAAAACACCCTCAAATTATCATAATTAAAATAGTGTAGAAGAAACAAAATCAATGGCATAAAACAGAGTCCTGAACCAGACCCACCAAATTTAATAGGTGGCAAACACATCATACTTGTGAAGAAAGGAAGGACTAAGAACACCACAGAAACCATTAGCCTTCCTTAGGAAAAAATAAAATTAGTTGAGTACTGTCCCTGCAGAAACGCTGTCCTCCCAGAACCTTGTGACCTTATTTGGAAATGGGGTCTTTGCAGATTTAATTATGGTAAGGATTGAGCTGAGACTAGACTGGACTAGGGTAGGCCCTAAATTCATGAGAGTATACTTATAAGAAACAGAAAAGGACACAGACACAGAAAAGAAGATGACGTGAAGATGGAGTAAGAGATTGGAATGACGACTCTATGAGCCAAGGGATGCCAAGGACTGGCATCTCTCTCAAGGACAGTTTCTCTCTCAGAGCACCCTCCCCCCCACCCCCGGCCCCAAGGAATCAATCCTAGCAACACCTTGATTTCAGACTTTTCTAGCCTCCAGAACTGAGAAAATTAATTTCTGTTGTCAAAAGGCACTCATCCTTTGGTAATTTGTTATGGCAGTCCCAGAAAACTAATACAATGCCACACACTAAACACATAAATTCCAATATATAAAAGATTTAACCTAAAAAGCAACATTGCAGATGTATCAGAAGAAGAGTTTGAAAAATATTTTTGGGCACGTGGGTGGTTCAGCTGGTTAAGTGACTGCCTTTGGCTCAGGTCATGATACCAAAGTACCAGGATCGAGTACCACTTCAGGCTTCCGCAGAGAGTCTGCTTCTCCCTCTGACCTTCCCCCCTCTCATGCGCGCGTGCTCTCTCTCTCTCTCTCAAATAAATAAATAAAATTTAAAAATATATATTAAAAAAAAGAAAAATATTTTTATTTTTAGAATTCACAGGCTAGAGAAAGCCTTCCCAAACAAGGCATGAAACCCAGATGTCATATAGAAAAGGACAGATTTGTGTATGCTAAAAACAAAATTGTACATCAAAGGGCCCTAGTTACAAGTTAAAGACAAGTAATAGTTTAGAAAAAATATCTGTAATATGTAGCAACGTCAGGGTTAACATCCAGAATAGACAAAGAAATCCTACAAGTCAAGAAGAAACACAAATGACCCAACAGAATTATTCAAATAATATAAACTGGAAATAAACAGAATACAAAAAGGCCAATAAAAGCTTTATAAGTAAATATTTAAAAAACTGATAATATCCAGTGTACATAAAGACACAAGGACACAGGCACTTTTCTCAATACCGGTAGAAGTATAAATATGTGGGATGCCTGGGTGGCTCAGTTAGTTAAGCAATGGCCTTTGGTCATGATCCCAGGGTCTTGGGATTGAGTCCTGCATCAGGCTCCCTGCTTGGTTGGAAGTCTGCTTTTCCCTCTCCCACTCCCCCTGCTTATGTTCCCTCTCTCGCTTGTCTCTCTCTCTCTCTGTCAAATAAATAAATAAAATCTTTAAAAAAAAAAAAAGGAAATAAAACTTTTAACTGCTTTTCCAATGTAAACCTAAAACATAGCCAGGTAAAATGTTCTTGGCTGGTGGAGAAGGGATATCAACCGTGTTATCAGTGATTGTGAAACTGGAGAATATTATGTGTGGGAGGGTTGTTCACAAGATTTTTATGTTCAGCAGAAGGAGGCATGGATTTAAAAAAGACATTAAAAATTTTTTTTAACTTTAAGAAATATTCAGTGGGATCCCCCTTACCTTAAAGTTGCATGCAAAATGTGCAAATGTATATTTTTCTGGGGGAAAGGATCTACACAGAGTTCTTCATGTCCTCCAAGGGATCCAAACTCAAGAAAGATTAAAAGATACTGGACACTCAAGGGAGTTAGATACAATGAATCAATGGTAGCTACATTATAATAATTGTACTAGTTAGTTAATGTCAATTTTACAAAACTAATGTTACTTTTGTTATAAAGTTTAAGACTTACACAAAAGGGTTTGTCATTTTGGCCTCTATAATTATCACCTTGTTGAGTAGGTGAGGGAATTACTGAATGTGAACCTGATGTAGCCAATGTGGAAGGGTTCTAAAAACATCTGGGAGCTAGCGTGTATGCATGACTGAATGCCTGAGCTATGATCGTGGGAACAGGGGAGCTGCTGAAGCTAGCTGGAGATTATGATCTGCTTAGCAAGAATGGGCATGCACAGAGAACCAGAGTACCAATCAAAACGAAACTGGGTATCCAGCCTATGGGAACAAGCAGAACACCTGAATTTCAATCAAGAATGAACAGTGGCGGGGCGCCTGGGTGGCTCAGTGGGTTAAAGCCTCTGCCTTCGGCTCAGGTCATGATCCCAGAGTCCTGGGATCAAGCCCTGCATCGAGCCCCACATCGAGCCCCGCATCGGGCTCTCTGCTCAGCAGGGAGCCTGCTTCCTCCTCTCTCTCTGCCTGCTTCTCTGCCTACTTGTGATCTCTGTCTGTCAAATAAATAAATAATTAATTGAAATTTAAAAAAAAAAAAAAGAATGAACGGTGGTGTTCTGGATATTCAAAAAACTGAGGCTTAGTCAGCAAAAGACTGTATTTTCATGAAAAGCCATGTACTAAAAATAGTCCTTAAAGGAAAGCCAAGAAAACATTTTTTGAGTAAATTTCTTGCAGAAATCAAACTACATTCCCCCATTACAAGTTGATGTGGGAACTTTGCCACCCATAGTGATAATAGGATCTGTGTGTGATGGGGTTTGAGGAGTCCTAGGGGGCATTTTGGAAATTTGTAGGGAGTATTTTTGGTTAAGACAATGTTGGCAAGGGGCTATGCTACTGGCTTAGTAGGTAAGGATCAGATAATTCAGACATGTTGCAGGTTTTTTGTTTTTTTGGGGGGGGTGGGTTTTGGCAAGAAATTTCACAAAAACTCAGGTGTTTAGGGGAAGGTCATTATGGAGGGGAAGGTTATTATGGAGAGTGAAGGTCATTATGGAAGGGAAGCTTAAATGAATAATGATACTGTCTTGTCTTACAAAATAACATACTCTGCATGATGTCCGCTTAATGTAGTACAGCTACTTTGAAAACAGTGAAACCAGTTGCAAATACAACAGGGTATTGGGGACTCCTTTTAACTGAGTCAGAAAGAAATGCTAAATTGACAGGCACATGAAATTTAGAGACCTCACTGGGTTTCATTAACAAAGGCTATTTTAAAACTACTTAATACTTTCATCTATAGACTTAGTTTTTGTTTGTTTGTTTGCTTTGTTTTTTTGGCATAATGAGAAATGTTATAAGAATTCTTTTGGGGATTACTGGTGGTGGTTGTTGTTGTTTTCCATTTTATTTTGATGCTGTCCTCAGACATGCATACTGCAAACCCCCTGTGGCCTATCCTCCTTTGCCAATCCAACCTTTTTCCATTGCCCATTAAAAGATAGGATCTCTGAGGTATGTGAATGTGTTTTAAGTATTAGAGACAAAAGTTATGTGTAAGGTAAAATTTCAAGTGAGAAAATGTGTTTTCTGTCACCAGCTATACCCCATCCCACAGGGGCAAAAAAAATTTTTTTAAACTGAGCTCCTTTGTGACAATATCACAAGCTCTTTTTTTTTCATATCCAAACTTCTCCTATATGTAAACGTCCATATTTTATCTTAAGACCATATAAGCTGTCTTTCCTGACTTCTTCCACTTCTCTCTTCTGCTTATCATAAATAAATCAGTCTAGCCTATTACTTATCTTTTTTTTTTTAAAGATTTTTAATTTATTTATTTGACAGAAAGAGAGATCACAAGTAGGCAGGCAGGTGGCGGGGAACAGGCTCCCTGCTGAGCAGAGAGCCGCTCGATCCCAGGACCCTGAGATCATGACCTGAGCCGAAGGCAGAGGCTTAACCCACTGAGCCGCTCAGGCACCCCTAGCCTATTACTTAATACCCTCCTTTTTGGGGTGCCTGGGTGGCTCAGTGGGTTAAAGGCTCTGCCTTCAGCTCAGGTCATGATCCCAGGGTCCTGGGATTGAGCCCTGCAGCACCAGGCTCTCTGCTCAGCAGGGAGTCTGCTTCCCCTGGTCTCTCTCTGCCTGCCTCTCTGCCTACTTGTGATCTCTGTCTGTCAAATAAATAAATAAAATCTTTAAAAAAAAAACAAAACCCCTTTTTTTTTGGAAGGGGGAGGGGCAGAGGGAGAAGGAGAATCCTAAGCAGACTCCGTGCCTAGCACAGAACCCAGTGCAGGGCTTGCTCCCACAACCCTGATAACATGATCCCAGCTGAAATGAAGAGTCAACACTTAACCGATGGAGCCACCCAGGTGCCCTATTAATGCTTTTTTTGAAAACCTAGTGTCCACCTATATTTCTGTTCTTTTATCTTCTTACACTTTTTTTACTGTGCAACTCTCCTAAACTCAAGCTTATGTTCACTACTAATATCTGCAGAGAGGGAGAAAGGAAATCACTGAGTTGGAAGCTTTGGAATAGGAAGGCAGGGGGAGTGTAATTGAGAGTTGACAATGGATCCATAAAGGGACTATCAGTGGAAATTGGGACAGCACGAATATGGACTGGAGATGGTCCATCCTCGTTTCTTGACTGGCTACAATAATGCACGCTGCTCAGAAGCAAAGAAAACAAAAATGAGAGGACTAAGGCTGATGGCAGGCATGCTAAACTTGATCAGATCACTTCTCTGCTTACAATCCTTCAAAGGTTTCCTCAACATGACCTTCAGGAGCCTCGGTCATCTGGCACCAGATATTTCTCTAGCCTCTTCTTGTACCATTCTCCCCTTAGCTTTCAAAGTCTCCCCCGCTGCAGCCAATTTCTTCCAACCTAAAGGCTTTCGCATGTACCATTCCTTTCATCTGTCACCTCCAATTCTTCCCATCCTCCACCCTTTGCTTCAGCTTAAAAATTAGTTCCTCAGAGAAGCTTTTCTGACCCCCAAATCCAATCCAGACACTCTATCAAAATAGTCTTTTGATATATGTCTTGTCTTCCATTGGACCTATCACAGTTATGTTTATTTGTATGAATACCTTTTCAGACATGGAAATAGCCCTGTGGAGGCAGGCACTGGGTTTACTTTGTTGATTGCTAAATTCCCAGCACCTAGCCTAGTGCCTATCACCAGCAGGAACAGTAGGAACATTCGTTCACTCATTCAATACATTTAGTGAGTTTACAGAATGAGTGAATGAATGTTTGGATGAGTTAGCTACAGGACTTTAGACAAGGTTTTTTTGTTTTGTTTTGTTTGTTTGTTTGGCCAAACATTTTATACAGTATTGTGTAGTTGCTTAACACACACTTAAATGGTCTTATGGGGGAGGGGAAAGGGGAGGTTCTTGTAGATTCCCAAGGAAATGCTTAGGCAAGTTTTTTATTGTGATTACATCTCCATTTTCTCATCTGCTAAATGGGGCAATGATACTAATTTCTTTTTTTTTTTCTTTTTTTTTTTTTAAGGTTTTGACTCTTTTTTTTTTTTTTAAGATTTATTTATTTATTTATTTATTTGACAGACAGAGATCACAAGTAGGCAGAGAGGCAGGCAGAGAGAGAGAGAGGAGGAAGCAGGCTCCCTGCAGAGCAGAGAGCCCGATGCGGGGCTCGATCCCAGGACCCTGGGATCATGACCTGAGCCGAAGGCAGAGGCTTTAACCCACTGAGCCACCCAGGCGCCCCAATGATACTAATTTCTAACCTCAGGATTGCCATGTGGATTAAGAGACAATGACTGCCTAGCATGGTGCCTGACATTATAGTAGGGGCTAGGAAATGTTACTTATTTTCGTTGTTAAAAATAAGCTCTATGAGCAGGGTGCCTGAGTGGCTCAGTCATTGTCTGCCTAAGCATCTGCCTTCAGCTCAGGTCATGATCCCAGGATGCTGGGATCACACCCCACGTCAGGCTCCCTGCTCAGCAAGAAGCCTATTTCTCCCTTCCCTCTGCCTGTCCCCCACCCCCGTCAAATAAATAAATTTTTAAAATTTTAAAACAAACAAACAAACAAACTCTATGAGCAACCAGAACTCTCATACAGCACTGGTAGGAATGCAAAAATGACACAGCCACTTTGGAAAAAGAGTTTACCAGTTTCTTACAGAGTTTAACACAGATTTTCCATACAATCCAGCAATTCCACTTCTAGGTATTTACCCAAATAAAATGGAAACTTTGATTGATACAAAACCTGCGCACGAATGTTTATTCAGCTTTATTCATCATTGCCAAAAACTGGAAACAACCCAAATGTCCTTCAAACAAATGGATAAATAAATTGTGGTATAGCTACACAGAATACCACCCAGCAAGAAGGAATGAACTACTGATAGATGCACAAAATGGATGACAGGTAACAGCTTCATGCTAGGTGAAAGAAGCCAGACTCAAAAGGCCACATGTTATATGATTCCATTTATATGACATTCTAGAAAAGCCAAACTGTTGGGAAAGAAATCAGGTCAGTGGTTGCCAGGCAATGGGGTGGAGCATGAGGGAATTTGGAGGAATGACAGAACTGTCCTAGGACTTGACTGGGATGGTAGTGACATGTCTATATGCACTTATCAAAACTCCTGGCATTATAAACCAGAAGGTGAATTTTACTATATGTAAATTATGCCCTCATATAAAAGATACAGACCCAAAACAGGTGGATAAAATTACATTTTCCTTTTCAAAAAAGTGTTACAAAAGTATGACAGTTTATTTGTAGACATTTTGGGAAAATGTACAAAGAGTGTACATGCCATCACCCACAGAACAATACTATTTCTTTGTTATCATTTTTATATGTGAAAACTACACATGAACTGGGACCACACTGTACATTTTTGCTTTCTCAAATGTACATTTTTTTTTAAAGATTTTATTTGACAGAGAGAGAGAGAGAGATCACAAGTAGGCAGAGAGGCAGGCAGAGAGAGAGTGGGGAACAGGCTACCCGCTGAGCAGGGAGCCTGATGTGGGGCTTGATCCCAGGACCCTGAGACCATGACCTGAGCAGAAGGCAGAGGCTTAACCCACTGAGCCACCCATGGGCCCCTCAAACGTACATTTTACTTTCTGGCATACATTAAGCACATTTTTCCCTGTAAGTAACTTTCAAAACCATGATTTCACGAGTCAAAACTATTTATTCTATTGTACAGCCCAGTTACATTTTTAAGCCTCCCCTTATGGTTAGAAATCGCTTCCATGTTTTTACTACAAACGACTTCGATAAAACTAAAAAAAGAAAAGCTGAGTGGGGCCAGGGACTCTTCCATTTTGCAATTTCACAATGTTTAACTGGTAAAACAACTCTTCCTTGGCTGCCATCGCCTCATTGTTTTAAGTGTCTGGAGGAAAAGTGGTTCCACAGGGTGATCTGGCCTCTCCTTCCTTTGAGGTGCATAAGAGCTAGACACCCTAATATTACCTGTATTCCTAGCTTAAATTTGCATAGCGCTTTTTATCTTTGCGGGGTAAGCAGGGCAGCCGGAGTGATCTGTTCATGAACCCACAGCTTATCAGTCTTGCAATGGGACTTAGGCTCTAGATACTGAGTTTCAGAAAGTAAACATTTCCCCAGCGGCGAAGCACAGTCTAATCTAGCTCTTCAAGCCCACCATACCCCCTCCCCCCCATGGAGAAGACACCCCCAGAAAACCCTGACTAGAGGCTTGGCACATGGAGAACTTAACAGTCAAGTGGACGCTATCCCTCCGAAAACTGTCCTTGGCAACATCGCCACTTACCAGCTGGGGTCATTTCTCCCCCCGGTGGCAGGGGGACACCTACTGCCACTGATCAAGAGGGCCCTGGGAGCTGTAGGATCGCCGGCTTCGCGGCCTGTGAGGGTTGCTATCGGTAGGTCGCGACGCTGTTGGGGCTTACCCTCACTGGGGGTCCTGCCAGGGCAGCCAGGCCCTCCTCAACACCGGGGCCTTCAGTGGGGGGCGCGCCCTCGGCGAGGTGAAGCCGGACCCCATCATGTTAAGGAGAGCTGAAGGCAGGCAGGGACCGCCGGACCACAGGGCTGCCCCTGGAGACTCTCGGAACGTGATGGGAATGCCTCCTACGGGCGACCAGAGGTCAGTCCTCCGCTATCCCACAGTGCCCCGGATCCCGGAAGTGCCTGGCTTTCCGGAAGTGCCCGGCTTTCCGGAAGTGCAGGCTGGCTGACAGAGAGGAGGTTTTCCTGAACGCTGCAAGGAGAGGGCTGTGGTTCTGGGGCTTGGGTGACGGCAGGAGGAGCGACTCCGGGTTGAGGTGGGCGTCAGGAGAGAGCTGGATAGCGGGATGATGGAGGAGGAGGAGCTGGAGTTCGTGGAGGAGCTGGAAGCCGTGCTGCAGCTCACGCCTGACGTGCAGCTCGCCATCGAGCAGGTGAGCGTTCCGCCCCCTGAGCGGAGGAGAGTCGAGGACAGGGAAGTCTGGGGGTGGGACCCGGGGTGGGCCGTGGAGGAAGCGGTCTTGGGACGGAGAAGTGGGAGCTAGGCGATGAAGGGTAGGGAAAGGTTTGGGGAAGATGATGGTGGGAAGGGGTTTCTGAATCGAAGGGAGGGAGAGAGCCCTTTCTAGGCCTTGATTGTCTTTGGAGGGTAAGGCGTCCTCGTTTGTTTGGGCAGAGAAACCGTGACCCTTGAAAGCATGAACCTGGAAAAAAGGAGTTCACAGACACCACCCTCAGATTTGGGGGGGTTATTTACCAGGCTGGTGTGCCGCTGCTCCCGAGTCTCAGTCTAACCCTTTGTGAGGGACTCGGAATTGAGGGGAGGAGCAACTTTAATACCTGAAGCGGATCACTGAGCAGAGGGGACACAGTTGGAAAAGGACCCCTTTACTATACTTAAATGGTTGAAAATTCCTGCTGTTGATTAATTTGGATTGGATTGAAGGATATTGCCCGGAGGCCTTCTTCCCTTCAAGGACTTTTTGGTTGATTAAATTCTCTTTTCAAGTTTATTGAGTCTTTAAGGATATTAGAGATAGTCATTTAGACCCTTGTGCAGAGTTTTGCTCCTGATTAAAGGGAGAGGATTTCCTTTAGAGGTAGTGGTGTAGGGGATAAGATTTAAGTAAAGGAAGTTTATGCCACATTTAGGGACCACTGGGAAGTTTTCTGAAGTACAGCATTGCTATTATCATTACTAATAGCTAATATTTATTGAGCATTAACACTTACTCTAGGTCTGTCACTGTACTAATTTATTTGTATTGTGCCATTTATAGATTTTTGGATATGTGTTTTTCTAGCAGTGGTTGGATTAGCCATACAAAGCACATTTGGCACATCCTGAGGATGCCAGACCTCTGGGCAAAGGTTTAGTTGTTCAAGCCACAGCTCCCCACCCACCTCCACTGGACAGAAAAAGACATGCATTTCATTTTCTCTTTGGATCTAGTGGGTTCTAGTAGAAGAAACAAACAATTCAGTCAGTTACCGTTTGGCAAGAATTTTATTTATTTTTATTTATTTTTTTTTTAAAGATTTTATTTATTTATTTGATAGAGAGAGATCACAAGTAGGCAAAGAGGCAGGGAGAGAGAGTGAGAGGGAAGCAAGCTCCCCACTGAGCAGAGAGCCCGACGTGGGACTCGATCCCAGGACCCTGGAATCATGACCTGAGCCGAAGGCAGCGGCTTAACCCGCTGAGCCACCCAGGCACCCTGGCAAGAATTTTAGAAGAGCACATTTTTGCTCTTTCTTAATAAGACTGAATTCTGGCATAAGTTTATCTAATAAGAGACATCAGAAAAGAATTGGTTTTCAGAATGACTACCTTGAACTGGTGAAATTTGGTATTCAGGCGATCACGCGACTGCTTTGTTTGTTTCTTTTTTTTTTTAAGATTTTTATTTATTTATTTGTCAGAGAGAGAGAGCGCACAAGCAGGGGGAGCAGCAGGCAGAGGGAGATGCAGGGCTCCATCCCAGGACACTGGGATCATGACCTGAGCCAAAGGCAGACGCTTACCCGACTGAGTCACCCAGGCGCCCCTCGACTGCTTGTTATATGTTCTTCAAGTTGTAGATTTTTTTTTTTTTTTAAGATTTTATTTATTTCTTTGACAGAGATCACAAGAAGGTGGAGAGGCAGGAAGAGAGAGAGTGGGGGAAGCAGGCTCCCTGCTAAGCAGAGAGCCTGATGCGGGGCTCGATCCCAGGACCCTGAGATCATGACCTGAGCCGAAAGCAGAGGCTTTAACCCACTGAGCCACCCAGGCGCCTCTGTAGCTTTTGAAGGGAATTATTTTTCAGAAGGCAGTATTCTTTCTTCTGTTAAAGGGATGGACAGTTCCCAAAGGCAAGCTCCATTTTCCTGACCCTGTGTGAGCCTAAAAATTGCTTTGATTCATAGGGAATTCTAATGCTGAGCCTTCCCAGAGACATAGTGCGTAAGTCTTTTCTCAAGGCTTCCTTAGTACAGTCATGTCATCAGCTGATTTAATCTGATAGTGGACAATGCCCATTTATTTTTCCTTGTCCATGGGATTTTTGTTGATATCTGTGGAACTTGCCATAGTCTCACATTCTGTTAGTGGCACCAAGATGTTAAAATTACAAATGTTGGTGAAAATGGAAGATTTACTTTAACAGATAATTTTACTGAGCAGTTGTTGTGCGTTAGGCCTTATAAGATGAAAAAAGATTGTTGTTGTTGTTGTTGTTGTTTTTTGTTTTTTGCCTTCAAAGAATTTACCATCTAGTAGGAAGGAAAGAAGTAACACATGAAATAAGACAGAAAAATAACAGTTATTTTAAATGCCCTGTCTTTTTGTAGGTATTTCCAAGCCAGGATCCTCTAGATCGAGCGGATTTCAATGCCGTGGAGTATATCAATACCCTGTTCCCAACAGAACAAGTAAGTATAGAGTTTCCTTCATGCCAGTGGTTTCTGTCTCATCGTTAGGGCTACGGTTGGTGTGTTATACTGCATGATCTAAGGAGACTTGATCGACAAGTGAGAGGTGAATTCAGATCAAACCCCACTGTAACGGACTGAGGGTGGGAGGTATCTTAATACAAAATACTGTTGTGTGAGAGTGGAATTCTTTGTCTTATGAGCATATTATTAGAAATTATACCTTTAGCTTGTAAGAGTCCCCCCACATTCATAGTATACCGGGAAGTAGAAAGGATTTTTGAAACTAATGGGGAAGAGTGGGATGAAGAGGGCAGGATAACCCAGGAGTTATAATGCTACTTTCACTCCTATTCCAAGATGTAAATTTTCAGACTTTACTTTTTACTCTGTTGTGTTGGGTGACTTGCCTTTGACTTGCCAGATGGGTTTTTCTTACAAAATTGGTTTATGGGTATGTTGGTAAGAAGTAGATCAGAATTAGAAACAGCAAAGTTGGGGGGCACCTCGGGGGCTCAGTTGGTTAAGCCTCCAACTGTTGACCTTAGGGTCCTTTTTTTTTTTTTTTTTTTTTTTTTAATTTTATTTATTTATTTGTCAGAGAGAGCACAAGCAGAGGGGCAGGCAGAGGCAGAGAGAGAAGCAGGCTCCCCGTTAAGCAAAGAGCCCCATGCGGGACTGGATCCCAGAACCCTTGCATCATGCCTGAGCCTAAGGCAGCCGCTTAACCGACTAAGCCACCCAGGTGTCCCTAATCATAGGGTCCTGAGTTCACGCCCCACTTTGGGCTTGTGGAGCCTGCTTTTTAAAAAAAAAAAAAAAAGAAAAGTAGAGTTGGGAGACCAGCTAGAGTTCTTGGTTTTTCATTTATGAATTCAGCAAATGTTTGGTGGTTTAATGGGCACTTATCAGGTATTATTGGTCAACTTGTGCTAGGTGCTGGGGACACAAAAATGAATGACGCCTAATCCATGCTCCCTTGAAGTGTACGTGATCAAGGTTCGGGGGAGACATTGGTGAATACTGGAGGAGAGTTATGCAATGGTTTAGTGAGGAACAGGGAAACAGTTCTTCAGAAGATCAAAACCTCAGAGAGGAGGGAGCCCTTCCACCAAATCTTAAAGGAGTCATTCCTTCACTTAAGAGACATTTTTTAAGTGTCTACTAAGCGCCAGGCGCTGTTTAGAAACTGGGGAGAAATGGTAAATGTGATAGGCAAGTTTCTGGTCTCATGGAGTGTAGTGTAAGGAAAAAAATAAACAGATCAACAAATACATGTATAAGAAAACCATCGTTGATGCTGTGATAAAAGCAGGCATAGTGATAGAACATGACCACCTGGGGAGGGGCTCCTTGAGATGGGTGGTCGGGGAAGGTCTCTGTGAGGTACTTAACTTATAAACTGACACTTGATACTTATAAAGTGGCCAGGTTTGTGGCAGTCTGGCAGAACACATCGAGGCAGAGTAAACCACCAGGCAAATCTTCCAGGATGACAGGGAAAGAAGGTCCTTCTAAGCACAGGGCAGACTCAGAGATGAGAAACACAGAACATGAACAGGGAGCATGGCCTCCTAGGAAATGGGGGCTAAAGGGGTTGGCAGAGCCAAGGACCTGAAGGGACTTTGTTCTCTGGCCTTGCAGACTCTGCAGTCTTTTGGATACCACACGCCTCATGGTAGAATTCATTCCACACAACTAATTTTCAATGGGCTAAATTTTAAGCTTGTATACCCTCGAAATCTTATGCACATATCCTAGTACCAGTCTTAAATAAATGAGGTTTAGTAGTGTTTGTCATATAAATAATAAAAACAGAGGTTTTAATGTTTTTCTCTTCACACTCTAATAACCATTATTGCAAACCCCTTGGGGATGTGCACACCCTGCACCAGAGACTGTGACTAGGCAGGTGTGTTCATTCAGGGACTCTCATCGGGGTCATTACTGGATCAGAGTCACATTTTCAAAATCCCACCTGGCCGCAGTGGGGAGGATGAACTGTGGGAAGGCAGACCTGGAAGGCAGGGAGACCGGTTAGCAGACTGCTGTGATGGATCACTTAAGAGGGACCAGGAGAATCTGAGTGAACACGGGGATGGAGAGAGCAAGACTGGAAAGCTGTTTGGGAGTCAAAAGTCAGTTTGGTGGTTGAAAGGACTTAGAACCTAAAATTTCCTCAAATCAAAAAACACCTCTTCTGTCTCACTCTCTAGGAAATTGGGGGCTGGAGGGTGAACAGGATAGATGTGGTCCTTACCAACATAGGGCTTCCAGTCTACCTTGATGGGTACTAGTTACACCATTGGCAGATTAACAGTAAGTTATTATGACTCTGCAATGACTTGTTTGTATAGCTATTATTACTTGTTGCTTGCTCTCAGAAGAGTCCTAAGTTCTGTGACCACTATAATAATAATTAACATTTATTGAGCGTACCAGACACCATTCTAAACATTTAATAGTGATGTATTCACTGCCTTGTTAACATGCTTGGTTTTTTTGTTTTGGGGTTTTTTTTTTTTTTAGGTTTTATTTATTTCTTTGAGAGAGAGAGGAGAGATCACGAGCAGAGGGAAGGGTAGAGGGAGAAGCAGACGCCCCGCTGAGCAGGGAGCCCAACTCGGGATTCGATCCCAGGACCCCGGGGTCATGACCCGAGCTGAAGGCAGACACTTAACGATTGAGCCACCCAGGTACCCCCAACATGCTTGTTTTGGGATGAGAACCAGGAAGACCAAAGGGAGAAAGAATGCTCAGCTTAAATGTGGTAGCGTTGCTATGAAAGAAGCATGTAGTATGCTGTGAAAACAGAGCACTTACTTATTAAGTCTGAGGGATCCAGAAAGACTTCACAGAAGAAATGGTATTTCAGCTGCACATTATGCACCAAATGAAGGATTTTGAGCTTTGATTTCCAAACTGCAGACTGGGTAGATGTTGACACCTTTACCTAAAATTGGGCCTAAGGAGGAAAAGTAGGCTTCAGTGGTAAATAGGGTAGGAGTAGGCTGTAAGAGTGAGCTAAGTTTTGAGCATTTGGGGGCCATCCAGGTGGAAATATGTACTTGGAATATCTGCGTCTGGAGCTCATAATCCCCATAATTGTTAATATTTTGGCTATATCCTTCCCAAACTTTTTCTAACGGACATGTTAATTTTTCAAAATGAAGTTGGAGTAATGGTATGATTCTCTGTGATTGTCTTGAGATTTCACGGATAGCCTTTAGAGCTCATTGTTTTCTGTGAAAGGAATTCTAGGAATTAGCTGGAGATAGAAATTTGGGAACAACTGGTATAAAGACAGCAGTTTTAGCTGTGAAAATGTCATCTGCCCCACCCTGTCAAGAAGGCTGACTCATCAAAGCCAAAATAACTGTTAAATTTGCACATTGTATAGGAAACCGCCAGATTCTTACTTTTTTCTGCTATGTTTTTATATGTATTTTATTTTAAATTACTGAAGGTAGCACTGGACGTTTATGAGAACACAGATGCAGTTATATGTCTTGTCGGATTATGCCTCCTCATACATGATAATGTGTAGTGAAGTTTTTTTTCTTTTTTTAAAAGATTTTATTTATTTATTTGACAGAGCACGAGAGAGCACAAGCCGGGGAGTGACAGAGGGAGAGGGAGAAGCAGGCTCCCTGCCGAGCAAGGAGTCCATGTGGGATAGGACTAATCCCAATCAGGACCTTAGCTGAAGGCAGATGCTTAACCGCTTAACCCAATGAGCCACCCGGGCACCCTGTAGTGGAGTTTCTTATAGCAACCTAAGAAAATTTATGACACAAGGTTACCTTTATTTCCCCAATCCCAGATTTTCTTTCTTTCTTTTTTTTTTTTAAGATTTTATTTATTTATTTGACAGAGAGAGATCACAAGTAGGCAGAGAGGCAGGCAGAGAGAGAGGGGGAAGCAGGCTCCCCGCTGAGCAGAGAGCCCGATGTGGGGCTCGATCCCAGGGCCCTGAGATCATGACCTGAGCCGAAGGCAGAGGCTTTAACCCATTGAGCCACCTAGGCGCCCCATCCCAATCCCAGATTTTCATTTAGCAATATATTCTCCAACCCAGAGTCCCATGGACCTTAATGGAAAGGTAGCAGAAAATAGTGGCATGATTTAGAATTTCTTTCTAGAAATTCTTGTTAGAAATTCTAGAAATCTCTTGCTAGATCTTGGGCAAAAGCCACCCAAGTCAGGGACCTGCAGTAAATTCTTCTGAATCATAAGTTTAGCATATTTAAAGTAGATGTCAGTATATCAGGAATAAATTTAGTGTCACCTAAGGAGGAGGAGGATGTGTGTGTGGGTTCTTTTGAACAGCAGTAACTTGGAAGTCTGTGGTTGCCTGGAGGTATGTTAGGGGAGGCAAGGAGATCCCTGGATGTTTCTAACTCCCTAGGTCCAAGTGGGAGGAACTCCATTTTCTCTCTTTATCAGGGCTCTCTGGGTAGTTCTGAAGAGTAGCCAGGTTTGGTAGCAATAATCTGGAAGACTCTTCTCTTCTAGTGTCCTAGAAGAAAATTGAAAATAATCATTTGTCATGTTTTCATTAGAGGTTTGATTAGGGGAATCTAGATAAAATCTATTAAAAATGAATATAAAACTAATATAACCAAGAACTTTGAAAGAAGAGTCATGTTGTTGCAGAAAAATAATCAGACCTGTGAGAGACCAAGTGACTTTTGGAGAAGTAGGAGAACTCGGATTTATTTTAGGCCGGCGGACCCAGATGAGCTCATGCTTGAAGGTCTGGGCGCCCAGCCGTGGGGAATAGGGCTTTTATAGGGGACTGAAGGCAGTTAGGTTCCAAAGCTGCCGGCTTGTGGGTGGGTTTAAACTGGGGGAGTAGGGACTGCTTTAAGTGGGAACGGTATAGTCAGGGAGCCTGTTGCAGGAGGCCTGTTTATGGAAGCAGAAGCGACTGGTTATTTCTTGCTCCCAGTAGGGCTTCCAGTGATCTCTAGCTTATTGTTAGTAACTTTCCATCTTCTGTGGCCTCCTGGCCTGGGCCTGCTCTGGGTAATTTTCCTCTTCAATGTGAAGCTATTTCTAAAGAATTTTTAATGACCCTCCCCCCCAAAATGCTCTAGGTGTATGTTGTTAAGTGAAAACAATAACATGTCAAATTGTTTGTCATCCCAGTTTAATTTGTTTTTAAGCCACATATTTGCTTAGAAGAAACTGTAGAAAGCAATATACCAAGATGCTAATGGTGATTATTTTCTAATGGAGGGGCAGGGGTTTCTGTATTTTCTGTAATCAGCAAGAATTGCTTTTAGATTCAGAAAGACTTCCAGGGGAGCCTGATTGGCTCAGTTGGTTAAGCCTCTGCCTTTGGCTCAGGTCATGATCTCAGGGTCCTGGGACCGAGCCCCACATCAGGTTCCTGTTCAGCCGGGAGCCTGCTTCTCCCTCTCCCTCTGCCTGCTGCTTCCCCTGCTTGTGCTCACTCTCTGTGTGAAATAAATAAAATCTTAAAAAAAAAAAAAAAGAGGAATCAGGGAATACTTTTCAATAATTAAAACATTTTTAAATGATAAAATAAAACTGTACAACTGCATTATACCTACACTAGAAGGGTGATTCTCAAAGAGGGGATATATCACCTGCAGCCAGGGTCATGGATCTGGATTCTTTGTTTCAGAGCCTCCCTGCCCTGTGTCTGTAATGACATAAAAGTCCCTCGAGTAAATGTGGCCTGATTTATTTTGACTTTTCTACTATGGCCATTTAGACCATTCCCTGCTCCCTTAAATGCAGTTGAATATCTGAAGGCATACATACTTTGAATTATTCTTCTTAGAAAAACTGTCATGGCATAAGCAAGACCTTCGTGTTTAAGGAGTATTAATTAAGAATTGGTTACTCTACCACCCAAAGCGATATTTACTGCTGTGGAATGACTTCCAACTTACATTGTTAAGTGAAAAAAGTATGGTGCAAGACACTGTGCATTACGTAAAGCAGGGGACGTAAGTTATGGATATGCTTTAAAATACATAGACTGTTTCTGGGAAGGTACAAAAGAAACCATTTCAGAGCCGTTGCCTCTCTGCAGAACCGTGGGAGACAGGCAGGACAGGGGAAGAGGAAGCCTTGATTTTCACTATTTCTTTACTTGTACTATTGGCATTTTGGTCATGTCCATGTTTTACCAATTTCAAATACATTACAATTTTTTTTAAAAAAGATTTTATTTATTTATTTGACAGACAGAGATCACAAGTAGGCAGAGAGGCAGGCAGAGAGAGAGGAGGAAACAGGCTCCCTGCCGAGCAGAGAGCCAGATGCGGGACTCGATCCCAGGATCCTGGGATCATGACCTGAGCCGAAGGCAGAGGCTTTAACCCACTGAGCCACCCAGGCGCCCCTACATTACAATTTTTAAAAAATATTTTATTTATTTATTTGAAACAGAGGGGGAGAGCGAGAGAGAGAGAATACCAGTGGTGGAGAGGGTTAGAGGGAGAGGGAGAAGCAGACTTCCCACTAAGCAAGGAGCTTGGCATGGATCTGGATCCCAGGACCCCCAAGATCATGACCGGAGCCAAAGGCAGACGCTTAACCGACTAAACCACCCAGGCACCCCTAGATTACGGTTTTAAAATTTTGGTATAATAATCCATTCTCAGAAAATATACAAGAATAGTACAATGAATTCATGGCTGCCTTTCACCCAGATTCTCTAAATGTTAACATTTTTAAAATAGTTCTTTTTAAATACCAAAACAAGAAAATGTTTTTAAGGGAATGGGTTCCAGCAGAGATAGTCAGGGTAGGAACTGTTATGCCTAATTTACACGTGAGGAAGTATAAATTCAGAGAGGCTGAACAGCTTGCCCTCTGTACATCGTGCTGGTTTGTAGGGGCAGAGCTGGGCCAAATCTAGGTCCTTCAACAAACTCAGTTCCTTTTACCACGGTGGTGACTTATACCCAGGCTGGATTCAGAGTGACTTGACAGGCGGTTCCTCAGTTAAAATAACTTCTCCTTTCTGAGATTCGTCTTCACCTCAGTCTAGATTTCTGAAACCGTTGCCTTTGTCAGAACAGACAAGATGTAAATGGCCTGGTCTGACATCTCAGACATGGTGACCTGGTTCTTGGCAGGCTCCTGGCCCCCTCCTGCCACCAGAGGTTGCTGGTAGCAATTTATAAGCACAATTCCTGCATTACCCCCAATACCTTTTCAGGTAAAATATCTGTTGGGGGAAAGGGAAAGAGTTCTAAAATTACATTTTGACGACTTGAGTTAAAATGGTGCTCTGTAATTGTACTGTATTCCACTAGGGGGCACCATTTCCTCGCGTTTTTGCTGGCTAAGGTTGGAAGTAGTCCCATTGTTTTAATTGTCATTGTCTTTAAAATAGAAATAACTTTATTATAATTACAGTAGCAGTGGATAGCCAGTGTAGAGCAATTAGTAAGTTCTTATAGGCAAAAAGAAGAAAAAAATTAAATCCTTTTCTTAGATACAGCTATTGCTACTGATTTCATAGTTTACAGCTACTATGTAGATTACAAAGCTAGTAACTAATATTTATCTTTCAAGGCATTTTTTCTGATGAACCTACAACTCAGAAAAAATAGACTTATTCATCAAAATACAGTATAATATAGATGCATACATACATCTTAAATATATAATTTGATGAATTTTCACAGAATGATTACAACCATGTAACTATCATTCAGATCAAGAAATAAGACATTAGGGGTGCCTGGGTGGCTCAGTCAGTTGAGCATCCTCCTCTTAATTTTGGCTCAGGTCATGATCTCACGGTCCTGGGATGGAGCCCTGCGTGGGGCTCTGTGCTCAGCCAGGAGTCTGCTTGAGATTCCCTCTCCCTCTCCCCCACCCCTTGCTCCTGTGCCCTCTCACTCTCTTGCTTGTGTGCTCTCTCTCTCAGATAAATAAAATCTTAAAGAAAAAAGGGGTGGGGTGGGGTACCTGGGTACCTCGGTTAGTTAGGCGTCCACCTCTTAGTTTCTGCTCAGGTCATGATCTCCTGGTTGGGAGATCCAGCCCCACGTTGGGCTCCACGTTCAGTGGGGAGCCTGCTTCCTCTCTCCCTCTGCCCCTCTTCCTGCTCGGTCATGCTCTTTCTCTGAAACAAATAAATAAAAAGAAAGAAGACATTAATACAACATCTTCTTTTTAAAAAGATATATTTACTTTAGAGAGTGTTGGGGGGCAGAGGGAGAGAATCTCGGAGAATCTCAAGGAGATTCCCTGTTGAGCATGGTACCCACCCTGGGGCTTGATCTTATGACACTTAACTGACGGTGCCACCCTGATGCCCTTGTCTTTAGATGGCCCCTCTTACCTCATCACAGTAACTACCTTCTTCAGAGATAACTACTGTCCTGCTGGCTTCTAACATGAGAGAATAGTATCATTTATTTTTTAACTATGTAAGTGGAGTTGTACAGTTTGGAGCCACCCAGGCACCCCAGCCATTCTATTTCTGTTGCAGCTATTCCAGCTTCACATTTGTAGCTCAAAGGCAGCTGTGGGTAATAGGTAAATGAGTGGACATGACTGTGTTCCAATAAAACTGTATATACAAAAACAGATACCAAGCTGGAATTTGCAATAGTTGCCAACAACTGCTATACGTTTTTTTAAAGATTTTATTTATTTATTTATAGAGTTGGGGGAGTGGCAGATGGCGGGGGAGAGAGAGAGAGAGAGAGAGAGAATGAATCTTAAGCAGATTCTGCCCTGAGTGCAGAGCCCATGGTGGGGCTAGATCTCACTGAGATCATGACCTGAGTCAAAAAACCAAGTGTCGGGGGCACCTGGGTGGCTCAGAGGGTTAAGCCTTTGCCTTCGGCTCCGGTCATGATCTCAGGGTCCTGGAATCGAGCCCCACATCGGGCTCTGTGCTCAGCGAGGAGCCTGCTTCCCCCTCTCTCTGTCTGCCTCTTGATCCCAGGACCCTGGGATCATGACCTGAGCCGAAGGCAGAGGCTTTAACCCACTGAGCCACCCAGGCGCACCCCCCTTATTACTTTTTTAAAATAAAATTGTATCACACTATGATTAAATGTTTAGAGATGTTATAAGTAGCCTTGATAGCTTATCATTTCTATAAAAAAGGATCTAGAAAGTGAAATAATAGCTGTCATTTTCCTTCTTTATTGTAGTCTCTGGCAAACATAGATGAAGTTGTGAACAAAATTAGACTGAAAATAAGGTAAGTACCCCATATGATTATTAATAATTACTGAAAAGCATGCTGTTAATTTAGTTAATCATGTTCTGGATCACACTTATCTGTTAGAAAACTGAAATCTCAAGTTTGCTGTTTATGACAATTTTTTTAAATCTTTTTTTTTTTTTTTTTAAAGATTTTATTTATTTATTTGACAGAGAGATCACAAGTAGACAGAGAGGCAGGCAGAGAGAGAGAGAGAGAGAGAGAGAAGCAGGCTCCCTGCTGAGCAGAGAGCCCGATGCGGGACTCGATCCCAGGACCCTGAGATCATGACCTGAGCCGAAGGCAGCGGCTTAACCCACTGAGCCACCCAGGCGCCCCTATGACAATTTTTTTAAAAAGATTTTATTTACTTATCTGACAGACAGAGATGACAAGTAGGCAGAGAGGCAGGCAGAGAGAGAGGGGGAAGCAGGCTCCCTGCTGAGTAGAAAGCCCGATGTAGGGCTCAATCCCAGGACCCTGGGATCATGACCTGAGCCGAAGGCAGAGGCTTAACCCACTGAGCCACCCAGGTGCCACTACTTATGACAATTTTTAAAAAAATAATTCTTTTATCTAGATTTCCATATGAACCTCATGGCAAAGAATTTGATTCTTTGTCCAGTCTTCAGTTATTTATAAAAAGGGAAGGAAACTTTAATAGGCTATTCAAAACGGTTGGTCATAAAAGGGGGCAAAAGCATTTCTATTGTAGTTTTATTTATTTATTTATTTATTTATTTATTTATTTATTTATTTTTAAGGCAGAGAAGCAGGCAGAGAGAGAGGAGGAAGCAAGCTCCCTGCTGAGCAGAGGGCCCCATATGCGGGGCTCCATCCCAGGACCCTAAGATCATGACCTGAGCCGAAGGCAGAGGCTTTAACCCACTGAGCCACCCAGGCGCCCCTCTATTGTAGTTTTAATGGTTTTATTTCCTTAGCAGATTTACCTTTTTTTGTTCTTCCAAGGCTTAGATACAAGGATGGGCATATACATGTATCCCGTGGCCATATACCAGCTAACGGGATGGTCATATCTGCTGGTTGGTATTTGTGGTGTCCCAAGATTAAATGTAGTGATTAATCTAAAATGTGCTTGTCAGAGTTAGACAACAAGTGTCTTTCCTCCCCAGTAGCCTGGTTCGGTTTGCCCACATCTGGATTTCCAGTTTTGACATATGGCAGGTGCTCAGTGTCTGTTCACTGTAATTAATACTATAATGGTTAATGTCATTAGGGCAATTGTAGTTGTTTGGTTTGGTTTTGTTTGATTTTTGATGAGGAGAAGCCTTCATTTTCAATCCAGGAGATGATTTCTTTTTTCCTTACAAGCTTTGGGTCTTTCAGTGAAGACCTTTGCCATGAATGTATTGTTTAGTTGGGCATCTCTCATTGTTTTGGTGGACTTCAGCTATAACAATTCTGATAGAGACTGCTAATATGTCCGGGATTTGCACAGAAAATGGGAATTCCCTAATGATCCAAAAATCACCGCAAACTGGTTATTTTCGGATTTCTCCCAATATACCTTTAAAAGACTCTTTACATGAAAAATGAAATTGACTGATGTAAATTTCTCTGATTGAGGGACCACTAAATGGTCGCTATTAGAGGCAGAGGTCACAGACCCACATCCTACACAGCTTGCATAGTTAGGGCCCAGAGGGTGCATCACGGATCTCATGTAGCACTCTGGCTCCTGAGGAAGTAACTGAGGGTTTTGCGGAGGGTACTTCAAATTCTCTGACTTGTTCCCATTAAGTTTCAGCAACATCGTCATTCCTGGTTTTTGCTATTGAAAAATATTAAACCTTACACTGGCCCATTTGGACAGCTCTGAATATTAAGCAAGAATAGCGTTTTTAAAAAAACAAGGACTACTCATCAGTCTGTGCTGTACTTGGCTTCTTACATTACTGTTGCTGCCTTAGCTAGGGTTTAAGGCCTCGGTCTTGGGTTAGTTCATTCTAACCTGTCTGGTTTTCTGGACAAGGAGGTACAACCGGCAGAAGTGGGTGGGTATGCCGTGACCTTTTTATCTTTTGGTCACTTTAGAATGGAGGTTGTTTTAATGATTCTTATCCTTTAACTTTTTCCTAGGAGACTGGATGACAATATTCGAACTGTTGTAAGAGGTCAAACAAACGTGGGGCAGGATGGCAGGCAAGTAAGTAACTTATTCCTCCATATTAATCATACTCTTCTGATTTCTTCATGACCTGGCAACCAAGCAACCAAAATGTTGATCTGCCTGCTTGTAGAGAGCATTTCTTAGGGATGTGTCCATACGCAGCAGGGAATGTGCCTGACTTGTCCCACTAATCCCGGAAGTAGACTGCGCAGACCAGCAGCAGGCTCTCACTCACTGCCTGTGCAAGCAGGAGCCTGTGGTAGCACAGCTCAGCCAGGCTAAGGCCCTGCAAGCCCAAGTGTGAAAACCAGAGTTGCCTTGTCTTTCTCCTCTGTGTCAGACATGTATTCATTTCCAAGTTTTATAGTTCTTTTTGGATCTAGCTAAGAAGGGCTGTTGCAAGGGGGGCGCCTGGGTGGCTCAGTGGGTTAAAGCCTCTGCCTTTGGCTCAGGTCATGATCCCAGGGTCCTGGGATCAGGCCTCGAGTCGGGCTCTCTGCTCTGCGGGGAGTCTGCTTCCTCCTCTCTCTCTGTCTGCCTCTCTTCCTACTTGTGATCTCTGTCAAATAAATAAAATATTAAAAAAAAAAAAAAAGAAGGGCTGTTGCAAGGGAATGAAGGGGGAAAGGGAGTGTATGGGGTGGAGGGCTTCGTTAATGACCTGGGGCCAGATGTTATCTATCAACCATTTTCCTTTTTATTTGGATTCTGTTCTGTTTAGGCATCATATTTCAAAACTTGCTGTCATAATAAAGGTTCTGAACACGCCTTTGTAGTCTTCTCATGCCGTGTCTGCTCTTCCCTCTTCAGTATTGACTCAGTCGGGTCGCTCTGTGCCTCTGTAGTAACCCCAGTTCTGTTTTTTTGTCCTCTTCGACTTGCAGTGCAGCTCATTTCTTCAGATACACATCATGCAACCCAAATTGGGGGCAGGGGGATGGGCGGTGTCATCTGCGAATAAATGTGCTGATCATTCATACTCGTGTTCCTTCCGCTAGTAGCTGACCAGTGTTACGAGTCTCTTTCTTTTCCTTTTACATTTTTAGTTTTATCGTTGCCTCTATTTCTCCTACATTTTGCGACTTTCTTTTCCTCCTAATAATCATCTTCCATTGGTCTCTTTGTAAGTATCTACCTTCTTCCTAGTTGACATCATCAGTATTTCTGTATGGACATATTAGTTTCCTATAGCTGATCCGATTTCCTGGTTCCTGCGTGGTTCTTAGTCCTTATTGTTTTGTTTTGGTCATTTAGGTTTCTCCCATGAAGCATCACTTCACAGGTGTGGCCTGCGTACATGGGGCGCTGGGAGGGAATAAAGAGTAACAAGGTGGCCTGCAAATGCTCCAGCCTCCTTCTGCCCTTGAGCCTTCCTTCTGTATGTCTGGCCCTGTCATCTACCTCTTCAGAAACCTCAGTGGCCTCTGTCTTATCAAATTTAATCCAAGTTTCTTTGCTTGGCATTCAAGGCCTCAATCTGCCTTTCCAGTTTTGCATCCTGCTGAGATCCACCCATACAGAAGACTCCGTGCTCTACAAGCACACCCTGTGCTTTCTGAACCCATGGACCTCTTTCTGCCTGAAATTATTTCTCTCCTCTTCTTCTTCTAGTAACTTCATCTCAAAATCTTACCTAAGGGCCCCCTCAAATACGATCTCCTCCATGAAATTTTCCGTTTAGCTCACCTGAACATACAAAAGGAATCAGAATTTTAGACCTAGAAGGGACTTGGAGCTCATTTGGTCCACACTTCTCCTTCTGCAGATGAGCAAATTCATCCTGATAGCCCTCAGCTAGATGTATATGCTTTCTGCCCACAAACTCCCAGGCCTGTGCCTGTACTTTCCATTTGACTTCCATGGTCTCCTTTGACTTACTAGTGAACACTTCTTGTCTCCTTGACTAGTTTGTAAGTTCCTTGAGGCAAGAATCGAATCTTCTCATCTCTCTTCTCATCTATTTCTCTCAACACATAGACTTCATGTCCAGACCAGTAACGTTTTATTCAACTGTATTGAATATTTGGTCTCTAGGAGACTATTTATTGCAAAGAAACAAAAGCCCTTTACCATAAAACATCATTTTGATCAATGTGTGTCCCCATAAAGTTGTTGAGAGCCTGATTTGTGTGTGACTAGTCCCCAGTGACTACCGTTTGAAATAACCCAACTATTTCATGTGATTCAGCCTCTTCTTAGAGCGGCTCAGGAAAAAATACTTTACAGGAGTCTCAGGTTTTTCAGATTCCAAGAATGGGAAAATAATGTGAATGATTCATCAGGATTTTTCTGTTGGGTCATGCTCTATCTGTACCTTTTATTTAGTTGTTTGTGTTTGAACCTGTGGTCACAAACCCCCAGTAGTGGAGAGTCGGGCCCCAGATGGGTCAGCCGGCGGGAATGTCAGCCTTACCCACCTTCCCGTATTAATAGGTTACAGGTTGCTGCCGCAGGGGCAGGTCGTATTTCAGAGAGCAAGACCACATTTTCAAGAATGTTTAGATAGCATTTCAATCTGTGGTGGAATTTTGTGTTCGTCTCCTTAGAATCCAGACAGAAAGGAAGCCCAGAAGAAATAATTGCTTTTCCTGTCATCCCCTCCATCTGTCTTTTCCAGCAGTTTGTAACGCAAGCTGATGGCGAGACTTTTTTTTTTTTTTTTCCAAGGAGCATTTGGGTCCCATCCTTGTCAACTCGTAGGGGTAAAAGTCTTGCTGTCCAGCTCTGGCTGGCTGGTGGTTTGCTGAAGAGAGACTCTTACTTGACTGGCACAGACTTGGGAGAGTTATGGATTGTTCCAAAATACTGAGTTTTATAGGTCAAGAGGCCCCACATTTCCCTCTTCCCTGGAATAGAGGAAAAGTCTGCCTTCAGAACTTGTTTCTGAAGCTTCTGAGGAACACTCAGGAGGAGAGCAGTATTACGGACCAAAGGAAATTTCATCTTGATCATGTTCGACCGGAACTGATGTGCTTTTTAATCTCTAAAGAAGGGGGATATGTTTACTTCCCCTTCACAGTGTCTTACAAGATATTTTTAGCAAAATTTTTTAGAAAAGCAGTGGTTCTTGCTACAAAACTATTTCTGAAGAGGCAGTGACTTAGAAATTGAAGACACAGTAAGGCACTTTCTTTGATTTCTGAGATTTCTGAAATACCAGCTGCATGGTTCACACTCGGTTCCACATTTTGGAGAGCCTTTGATTGTTCACCACCTCCTACGTGGCAGACTTGAACTGGTTTAGTCTGTGACCTCTTCTAACCAGACTGTGATGCTCATACGAAGTTAATACGGCACAGAATTCTCCCCATTTTCTTCTGCTGAAATCATCAGGCAAAGGCTTTAATTAAATGCCCACATGTTTCAGACTTCATGGATAAGATGAGTCAATTCAACTAATACACGATCTGATATGCTGTGAACCGTATGCAGCTTCCTGAGAATTAAAACAGACAGCTTGACCTCGGGTAGAAAGAGGTGAATAGAGGAGCGGCTTGGAAAAAGAAAAGGTTGGCATGTGAAATCTAAAGAGTGGCCAAAGCTTGACCAATTCCCAGTATGCTCACTGAGAAACACCAGAAGGATCAGCCACTGGGCTTCTGTCTCTGGAGTAGAGCTTGGCTGCCATGTTACTGTTGCATCTGAGCAAGACTAAGGTTTAGGAGGGGAAGAAACTGTTAATTGCCATCTCCAGCCCAGCTCACCAGAATCTGATTGTAAGATGCTTTAGGTATCCATAGTACAATCTTACACCCAGTTCAGGAATCCTTTCTGTGACATCCCTGACAATTCATTGGCCTGCTTCTGCTTGGACACTCATGGTGATGGGCAGCTACCGTTTTGTTCTACAGGGCAGTCTCAGTCTATTCCAGTTTTGAACAGCTTTCATTGTAAGAAACTTCTTTCTTAGACTGAACTGAAATAGTAGAATAGACCTCATTGTAACTTCTCATTGCTCTTAGTTGTGCCAGCTGGACCAGTGCAAGCCTAATCCCTTTTCCTTATTATGGTTTCTAAAATTTTAAATGGATATTATGTTCCTTTCTTAGTGTTCCTTTTCCTAGGGTAACCATTCTTTCTTCAGCCCTGTGATCTTATTTCCAGACCTTTTATCATCCCGGTTGCCTTGCAGTTTGTCAGCATCATTCTTTTTTTTTTTTTTTTTTTTTTGTCAGCGTCATTCTTAAAATGGGGTTCCTGGCCCATGCTGTGTGGACACATAGTGGGGTGCCTCAGCCTTCTTGTTCTGCACTGATGCTATGAATGTGGGAACTGGGGGCTCAGGGGGACTGAAATTCATTATTATAATTCCTGAAATTGATTACTCATTTTTGTATGAATAGATTCATTTCTTGAGAGAGTACTCATTGATTTTTTAAAAATTCTTTAAGGAGTCCATGACTCTTCAGAAGTTAAGGACCACTGGTTTAGACACTGTTCTCCCATCACCTCGGACTGGGTGCAGTTTCTGGCAGCTGTGTCCCGCTGTTAGCTTCTGCTGACAGTCGAGTTGGCAGTTCTCCGAAACCCCCAGGTCAAGAGTTGCAGACAGATGCCCACAGAGCTAAGAAAGTGACCTAAATGGCTTCAGCAGGCCAGCGTGCATCCACGTGTATCCCGTGGGCGAGTGAATGCCCTTTCTAAAAGGGGACAGCTACAGCCCAGTTCAGACCAACTGTGGTCAGGCCTGAATGCAGACCCAGAGATGCCAGATCTATCAGTTTTTCAAGAGAAGCCGGAAATCCGGATTTTTATGTGACTCTCCAGATTTTTAGATGTTGGCTTAGTGTCTTCCACAAATACTGCGAAGGCCAAACAAAACACGTGTGTGCCAGCAGTTTGCAACATCTGCCCCAGGTCTTTTTTCATATGAGCTACTTTTCAACTTTTCCCTCCTCTGTTTGTTTAAGAGATTCTTTTGAGATCAAGTACTGGACTTTATGTCCTCCCCCCAGCCCCTTCCACACACCCCATTTCTTCTTGCTAGTTCTGCTTGATTGTCCCAGCCAGTTGAGGCCTTTTGGAGTCTTGATGAC